TTGGTCTTCAGGATGTCAGCCATATGTTCCAAAGGATTAGGAGCTACAGATTTCTCAAAGGAAATTCCATTTTGTATGAACAGGTGTTGCAAAAGCTCAACTGACGTTGGACCATGATCACTTCCTAATGAAGTCCTTGCAGTGCTCCAAAAGGTGATCTGATATTGGTGGAAGTTCCTTCTTGTTCCTAATCTTGAACACCATTCATATCATGAGTCTAGATAAAGGTACGCTGCCCTCCAGCATGTTCTCGGAAAGAAAGAAAAAAACGAATTCTTTATCTTTTAACTCACTGGTAATCTGTCAGTTAAACATGAGAGCGACGGATCATGGCAGTGCGTTAACAAACCTATCCTGCACCAGGAAACAAAAGAAAATGATACATGCAGAAAGCCAACCCACATGCATTGCATTGCTTGATTATCTAAACAAACTCAAAGTATTGAATCTACAAGTGCAATCAGTAACAACCTCTTACTTCTTAAGCGACAAGTAGAACTGCTGCCATATAAAAACAAAAAAAGAAAATAACATTCAAATCGATCAATCATTTTGTCATGAATTATCATCTCTATATCTGATCAACTATCTGAAGGCAATGGAGAAACTTGTGGTACTCTATAGAGTCTGACTGAGTAACTTGTCTGCACTCTACTACAGCACAAACTCGATTTGTGATCGAACACTTGATGTGCTGACATTCTCAACCAAAGCAAACAGACAATTAACTATAAGTAGCTCTACACATCTATGCCATGGCAATACCACTACTCAAGAAGGTATAGCTATGTAGAACAATAGACAGAAGGAACACACCTATACTGGAAGATCTACATGTCACACTGCTGAATTTGTATGTGTTATCCTATACAGGCGAGCCACAGTTTCAGTTTTCAAACATTAGTTTGAACCAAATAAAAAAGGGGAAATTGGCTGACGGACACCCACAGTGGTGGTCGTTTGCTGACGGACACCCAAAGTGGAGTTGTATGCTAGAAGACACTCTGGTTTATTATAATTATGTCAGAGGACACCGTGGGTCGGTTTCCACCGGTTGAGGAGAGAAAAAAATTCAGTTTGGACATCCGGTGCCCCTGAGCCACGTTTGGGTCTGGATTAGACCAGCTAATAACCGACCCGAGTCTGGTCTAGTTAATCGGCTCGTCTCCATCTGTCTCGGTCCTTGCCGCACATGCATCCAATTTCTGCCTCGTCGGCTTCTGCAACCCATGACAAGGTCACCACCTAGGAACGTATGAACTGGAGACCCTGCAGCAGGCTTGCATTGCAACATTTGTCGCTATACCAAGATCCAAGCCCAACAATGGCGTGCTCGATTGCCTTCATATCCAAAGACAACGATCCATTGACCGAAGCCCGTCCGTCAAAAGTCCGGTCAAAAGCTGAAAGCTTGGTGAGGATTTCGATCGCTCAGCGGTCTGGACATGGAGATGTTCCAGAGGACCGCCGTCGTCGTCGGCGTCGTCGCCGCCGCGTCATCATCAGACACGCCGCCGCCGCCGCCGCGGGCATGGCGGGCTCGGGTCGTCGTGGGTGCGGAGCCGAGCCCACGACCAACGGGGCTCATGCCTCATCAAACGTCTGCATACTAGCGCTTGCGCCGAGGTGGCGGCGGCGCCTTTGACCGCGCCAACTTCTACCTAGAGCGAGATCACGCACCGTGGCGTCCACGGACGCGCCGCCGCACGCCGCAGCCGCGCCGCCGTCTTCGCCAACGCTCTGCGCGAAAAGCTGCTTGAACTCGTCCCCGGCCTATCACGGGCGCCGCTTGTCCCACGGGGGCAACTCCGGAGGGCGCACTGGTGCCCGCCAGGCACACCTCTTCGACGTCTTTGCGCTTCGCTCATGAAGCCGGGCGTATTCGACCACCAACCACGCCATCCTCGGAGGCGATGGAGGGCGAGAGGTTCGTGCGTCGTCGACCTCTCCGCCCCGCCGCCAACCCGGTCAAATGGATCGTCTTTGTTCCACGCCTTCGCGCGGCCGCCGGGGGCCACCGCACCTCCACGTCACGGCCGTGCACGGCGGTAGAGAGTTCTTAGCCAACATGGCGCCGTGCTTTCGCCAAGGAGGCGGGCGTTCGACGTTCGACATCCCGTTCTGAGTTCAGCGGGCGTGGAGGCGAGGCCGGAGGAGCTGGACATCAACGCGCTCCGGCACGTCCTCCTCGCGTCGCGATCCGACGCAGGCGCCGCCGTCGGCGTGGTCGGCGGTGCACCGCCTCCTGGCGGTCGATAGCCGCCGGTGGCGGAGCGAGCATGTCCCGGCAAGCAATTTGCTGACCCTGTCGCGAGATCATCGCGGTCCAAATAAGCGGCACTTCGGCGAGCTCTTGGGCGGGAGATCAACACGCGCTGCAGTTGAGCCCGGACTCATCGGCGGTGCTCTCCATGTTGCCGCATGTCGTCGTCATCCTTATTGCCGGCTCGCGGCAACAATAACAACAGCAGAGGGAAAAAGGCAAAGCAGGCGCTTCTGCTGCGCAGCGCGCGCGGCGTCGCCGAAGATCATGGTGGTGGCGAGCCGGAGGCGAACCACAACGCGCGCGATGTTCTGGAGCGGTTCGAGGAGGCTCAACTACTACGCTGCGTCGCTGTTCGACCGCTCGAGCGCGCCAGCGCGCGGGCGCGCAGCGCATGCGGCGCGGGGAGCGGGCTCGAGCCGTTAACTGCACCAGCTCGGGTCGGTTATTAGGTGGTCCAACCAGACCCAAACATGGCTCAGGGGCACCGGATATCTAAACTGAATTTTTCTCTCTCCTCAACCGGTGGAAACCGGCCCGCGGTGTCCTCTGGCATAATTACAACAAACCAGAGTATCTTCTAGCATACAGCTCCACTTTGGGTGTCCACCAGCAAACGACCACCACTGTGGGTGTCCGCCAGCCAATTTCCCCAATAAAAAAAGGCAATGTATTGCAACAGTCTAGAACTGAACTCAGTAGCTCACCCTAATGGTCCTGCACGTTTGTTACAAGCAGTGAGCGTCACAAGATAAAAAAAAGGAAAGATGTTGGTATTGGCTTGTAATTCGGTTAATTTCAGTTTATCACCAAACTGAAACGTGTAGTTGCATAACTACAATTGTCAAACAAAATTTAAAAGTAAAGAAATAAATGAACATGATGCATTGCACTGATTGAGGTCGAGACACTGAAACGCTGACGCTAGTGTTGGGGACGCAGCAGGCATCTCATCCTTGAACATGACAGGAGGTCGAGGAATTCATGAAAGCAGTCGAAGGTGACCTGGCGACGTGGCGGACATCCGTGGGGCAGCTTATCTCCATCTCCCTAGCGCCACCGTGGCATCCTCCTCCTTCCCAGCCTGCCACTCGGCTCCGGCGGCCTCGTGCTCCCCCCGGCATGCCCCCACACCCACGGCCGCGAGCAGCAGCTCTAGCACCACCGATGATCCTCCCACCACCCCCTCAGAGATCCCCCTCCACCTCAGAAAGAGACTCGCCCACGTCGTCATGGATCTCGGAGGGGGGTCGCCCGTGCCTCGAGGAGCGAGGACGCCCGCACCATCATCGGATCTGGCCGTTTCCTGTGGAGGCAGCGCACTTCCTCGATGGTAGCAGGATGCGTTGCCACCGCCACGGGAGGAGGCCATGTGGATGGAGTTGTGGGAGAAGGGGAAAGTTTACACATGGGCATGGCTGTGGGGCCTTCCGGCGGCGGCGCAGCCGGCTCGGGATGGGCGACGACGGCGTAGAGACGGCGGCACCGGCCGAGAAAGGCCTTTGGCGTGCACGGTTGCGTAGGGACGTTGCGCACGGTGGCGTCGGAGATGGTCGCGTGGTGTGGCGTGTGTGGGATCGCACGGGCGTGATTGGGGGAGATGGCCGCGATATGTGGTGGCGGGGAGGAGGGAGTGGAGCGCGCGATGATGCGGTATCGCACGGGCGTGGGCAGACGGACAAATCAAAACAAATGTCACACCAAAAAATGTCCACGCTTTGTTCTTTTTACTCGTAGGATTGTATTAGGAGTTGTTGGAGATGTATTTTTCGTGGATCTTTCTAAAAACTTAGGATTAGGGAAAGGTTTAGGAAACTCTTGGAGATGCTCTTAGCACCATGCTTAAAATGTTGGCTATACCTCACGCATCGGGAAATATCCTCAGGATATGTAGGACCACCAGCTTTTCTTACAAAAAAAAATGAATCGCATCGTAGTCATATATAGGCCAAGAATCACAAGCGATATAGCTCACGCTTACAACTCTGAGTCACATGAGCCTGGAAAGACTTGGAAGGCCTAAAAACATGACTTATAGCTCATGCTTCGGCCTAGATTTCCTCCATTACACCTAAACTAATCAGCATTACCAAAAGATTATAAATGGCATCGGGACTATGAGAGGCTAAAATCAAGAGAGCTATTGCTCATGCTTTTGGCAAAAAGTTCTCCAAAGACTGAAAATGCCCAAGTCTTCTGACAACATTAGAACATCTAGGAAGGTCTAAAAATATGAGTTATACAACTTATGCACTAGGCGATATGTCCTCGGGGATACTAGAACCCAACAAGGCAACATTTCTAATGGAATTGAAATTATATGGGAGGCCAAAAATCATGAGGCATAACTACCTCTTTTAGCAAAGATTCCTACAAAATATAAAAATGCTATAAGTTTGTTCCATAACTCCTGAACAACTAGGAAGCTATAACAACAAAATGACTAGGCATGCATACGTAAGGCTTCAAGCATTGGGGCATATATCCTTTGGTATTAAATTCTGGATTTGACAATGGTGGTTAGCTGATTACAACGGTGAAAACGTCATTTATCACAATACAGCCACCATCAGGTTACAAACTTAGCATTTGTTGGAAATAACAATAAATAAGGTGGTTAAACTGCAGTATTTTCAGCAGACTAGGAGCCGCATACTGTTTGAGAAACATGTGGTGACAGTTAAACTTTAAAGTAATCATTGCTGAACAACTTACAGCCAGAGTCTGAAAGGTATCATTAAGTTCCATTTATAATAACCAACCGTATCTTGAGAGAACAAGAGCCACAGCCCAGAACAACAGAAGCTGATGATGCAGAATCAGACGGCTGCAGTTCTATTTCTCCATCTCCACTGACGAAAATCCCCATCTCACTAAGTTCACATGAAGTGATGAAAAAATAATCACCACACCTGCATGGGTACAACAGCTCTACAGTATCACCAGTGCTCTCAATGATCATATCCGTGACTTTGATTTCGGACGCAATGATCTCAATGTTCTGTCTGGATGATTGCAGCTGCTTATCATAGTCTGCTCTAGATGCAGGATGGCGTAGAATTTCCCATGCTTTCTGCACACTAAAAAATTCCTGTTGCGCACTGGAAGGCACAGATGACTCAAGAGTTGTCTGTGCTTTATCAGGATGTGTGTTCAGAGCAGCAGACCTGTATGCTGCACGAATTTCATCATATGTAGCATCTTCACTCACAGATAAAACCTCATACAAGGTTTTCTGAACGGAAATACTGCTGCCTAGAACCATAGTGGAAGCTGGACCACTGCATGCAGGGGTGAAAACCGTAAGTATAAAATATACCCAACACATCTTGATTCTTTAATGTAATATATGCCTAAACAGTTCTTTGTGGCGATAACATTGCGAGTCAACATAAGCAATGCGTGTTATCTTATTTTATTGCAGATTTTTAAATCTAAGTAAAACTCTTTTTATCAGGTTTGAACCAACAAATGCACCATCTATTTATGTTTGGGCCACCTCTGCTGAGATAAGTGTTACAAAGAGGCGTTTAGTCCAGGAAAAGTAAACAAACTAAATCACCAACACACCTCAAATCTATTACATACATAGAGAACAGCCAGAATCACCATAATTCCCAAAACCACTTGATATGCAGCCAGCCACTAGAAACACAAGCTTCCATACAAGGGTTCTTTCACAAAATTCAGATACAATAAACAAGAATAATCGAGAGCAAAGGAAAGGAACAAAGACATCAACAATCTATGAGCTCAGATCACCAATCTATTCTACAAATACAGCAAGAGAGGTGTACAGAAAATGCAACATGAGGTGAATATGCTGAAATATATGGCATACTAACTCCAATAAACAGAGAAGGCAGAACTAACATGCATATTGCATATATGAACCTACATAAGAAACAACCTTTGTGTTGATTCTAAATTAGAGTTCAGCACATCTAGGAAAACAACAATAATGCAGCGGAGAATGTTGCGACCACGGCAACACTAGTGCTTGAAATGCTCCGGCTAGTAATAGTAAGAAGCAAATGATTTTTGCATCACTTAGCAAAGAGTGGAGAATAGTTAATATTACTTGTCTAGATCAAACTATATATTTTTCTATATACCAATCTACAGACACTGACTTGCAACCTGATGACCAAACATCTACTCCAAGATAACAAAAGAGAGGACAGCAAGACAGGAACACCTTCATGACTTGAGTCATTTATCTTCATTTTGAAAGAACATCAATAAACATCTTATTGCCTGATGAGTTGCATTCTGAATATTTACAGCACCCTACTATGGGGAGTATTTATAAATCTACAAATCTACACCTAATAACACAAGTACATCTGATTCTCTAAACTTGAATGATTTTGGTTAACCTGAGATACTATGGGATAAAACAAAAGCAACCAATGGGCACGCAGACATATAGATTGACGGTTACATTTAGGAAGGTGCTAGTATCAAACAAACAGGAAGGATTCAATCAGTAAAATTACCTCTAAATATAGTTCATTCCACAACAGGAGGGATGATAGAAAATGAACATTATTCACATAATAATGTATTGGCAGCTCCTATTGGATTAATATAAAAAAATACTTGCGGATTTTCCTAATCAGCTCAATCTGTACTAAAATCTTAGGATGTCATTAGAAAAGATGATACTCTGAATTGATGTACACGGAAACAATAGGCAATGCTAGTGTATCTAGGGAATCAGCACTGCATACCTAGTGCAGATGAATTGACTCAAGGAGGAGAGGCTGGCATCGATGCAGTGAGTCCTCAGGCCTCCTGGGGTTTGATGCAACAACGCCTGAGGTTGCCTCGTCGGGGGGCAGTGCCGCAGCTCGGTGGACTCGTTTGGGGTCGATGCAGCAGAACCCCAAGTCCTGCTTGTAGAGGGGGGAGAGCCACTGCAGCAGTTCTTGGCAAGCCTCGACGATGGCCGGCTCAACGGCAGCCCGGCGGGAGGGCGCTCGGTTGTGGGGAGATGGTGGTCGGTGGTGGCGTGCAGGGAGATCGGTGGTGGCCGGCCGAGTGCAGGGGATTGGCGTGGAGATTTGTGGCGGCGGCAGCGATTTCGCAGACGGAGGATTTGGGAGAAGAAGCGCGCGTGAGCCTACAACGGAGGGGATTTGGGAGGAGCGTGCGGCGGCGCCGTAGGAGCGGAGGGGATTTGGGAGCAAGGCGCGGCGACCGGCGGCGGGGAGATGGATGAAGCAACCAAGTTTGGGTTTTTTTGTTGTTGGGCCAGGATCAATTCTAGGGGTGACTGGGCTGCAATGTGGCGAAAAGTCCTGGGCCCTGCCGACGGAATACCGACTGAAAATTACGAGGACTCGTATACTCCCTCCAACTCAAAATAATTGTCGCTATGAGATGCATGCTGATCAAACTTTTTTAATTTTGACTAAATTTAAAAAAAATATTAGCAATGCTTTTATCTCCAAATAAGTTATTATAAAAATATATTCAACGATTCATCTAATGATATTGATTATACATTATAAATATTAATAATTTTTTATATATATTTGATGAAAGTTAAAGACACTTATTCTGGAAGGTAGAGAGTATGTTGCAACCTTTTACAAACTAACGGTGCATCAGTTATTAAGGTGTTTTACCGACTGATGTCTAATGGTGTTTAGGGTTATGGTATAGTGTCAGCAGATGGTATAGCCTCTTTAGCTCCATGCACCAGCTGCCAACCGTACAGACAGGAGCTGAAGCCTTGAGTAGGCGATGGGGTACTTCTACCGGTTGCGACATTATCTAAAACAACCAGCCACAAATTAAGGGAAATCACAACTAAACTACTTCTTCTATCACAATTAGTGAGAGACAAAGGTGATTTTTTTTCTAAGCTCCTTATTTTGTCTAACAATACTTGAATATCTTATGTGGAGTAATAGTTTATTAAATTAGACATGAGCAGTAGAGCATGATTTTAGAAGAAACAGAAACTGAGCTTCATAAATTTCTAAAAAAAGGGTGTACTCAGTGCAGAGAGCTCCCGCTCTGTGCGGGGTCTGAGGAAGGGTGTCAGTGGCAAGCCATAAATTTCTAAGCTAAAACAAAATTTCTATGGATTTTCTTAGATTAAACCAAATTTTAGGATTTTTAATTGTATTTTTTATGTAAAAATATTTGTACAAATCTTTGAAAAAATGTTTTTTAATATATTTTTAAATTTCTAGACTGATTTATCTTCCTAAACTTTTAAGTTTGTCCAATTTATCCCCTATATATGATGTGGTGTCATGTTAACAAAATCACAATTAAAATGGTTCAGGATGCAAAGAACCAATGGTTTTAAAAGTTAAGGTGTCAAAAAAACCAGTGTCGTGGATGAGGAAGGTAAATGGGACGGTTATGAGGTTCAAAAGCTGCTTCTTTCTTTCTTTCTTTCTTTCTTTTTTTTTTTTGCGAGGCAATGGCCTTTTCTCCTGGGCCGTTAGAAGACCAATTTTGTTAAAAGGGCTCAGCCCAACCACAGCATCTTCTTCCCAGTTCCAGGCTTCCAGCTCGCAGCTCGTCCCGTTCCCCTCTCCCCTCCTCTCCTTGCTGCGTTTGATTTGCAGCAGAATCGCAGCGACCGCGTCGTCCCCACGCGGCGCTGCCGCTGCCCAGGCAAGCAGAGAGAGCGATATCGGACGGGGAGGAGATGGAGACGGTGAAGAGCCTTCTGAAGCCGAAGCCGACGCCGCAGCAGCAGCTGCGCGAGTGGCAGCGCCGCCTCCGCAACGAGGGCCGCAACATCGACCGGCAGATCCGAGGCGAGCGAGCCCGCTTTCCCATTCTCCGGACCCAGACTCATCCTCGCCGACTTTGAACTAACGACGGTGAGGCTGTCGCTCTCGATCTCGATGTGCTGCAGATGTGCAGAGGGAGGAGAAGAAGGTGGAGAAGGCCATCAGGGAGGCCGCCAAGCGCAACGACATGGGATCCGCCAAGGTAAGGTACCCGTGTCGAATCAATTGATTGATGACTGAATTGAAGCGGTCGTGAGAGCGGGCGATCTGTGAATTGATTTCACTTTCACTGACCAATTGCTTGTCTGGTTCCTCCAAGGCGCTGGCCAAGGAGGTGGTGCGGTCGAGGAAGGCGGTCAACCGCCTCTACGAGAACAAGGCACAGCTCAACTCCATCTCCTTGCACCTTGGCGAAATCGTTGGTAATAACTAACTATCCTGTTCATACTATGTTTGGTAGGTAGTTATGACTGAATCGACCTTCCTCTATGTTTGGTATTTGCATTGGGCAATGTTATGTAGTTATGACTGAATCGACCATTGTACTTATCCACTTACTGGTTGGCTGGTACCTGAAACTGATGTCATGTTCCCAAATGGACCCATGTAATACTTTCTCTTGGTTCGGCTCAGGCTGAAGCTTAATTAATCTTATTTTTAAGTGTAGATAAGTGTAGAAATAAATGAGATTAAACGGCATGTGCCAAAACTAATCTTTGCATAGCTTATCCCAACCAGTAAAGAATGCATGATCAACAGTTTAGTAGAATATTCTGAAGCGTTATTTACTGATGAGAACTACAACCTTGTTTGGGTTCCCCGTTACCTATTTTGGACTAGGCAACTAGGTTCCCGTGGTTCCTTTCTTTGAACCACTGACATAAATCATGTGGATCCACTCTTTCTTCTGTCCTGATCCCTAAACATGATAATAAAACTCATAAGTTTAATATAGTAATTGCAGTATGCTTGTGTGAAACTTAGGTTACAGACTTGTACTGACAATAAGTTGGAATGCTATAATCTTTCAGCTACTGCTAGGACAGTAGGCCACTTGTCCAAGAGCACCGAAGTGATGAAACTTGTCAACAACCTCATGAAAGCCCCAGAGGTTGCAGCCACAATGCAGGAATTCAGCAAAGAGATGACAAAGGTACAATGAATGTCAGATTGCATTGTGATCACTCATACCCTTCAAAGGATTATCTTTCTTGCATTAAATACCTGTGATAATTTTTGCCTCATGATTTCTGTGGTGTAGGCTGGTGTAATGGAAGAAATGGTTAACGATGCTTTAGATTCGACGCTGGACAATGAGGACATCGAGGAGGAAATTGAAGAGGAGGTTGACAAGGTCCTCACCGCAATCGCTGGGGAGACTGCCTCTGAGCTCCCGGATGCTGTCAGGAAGGAAAAGGAGAAGATGAAGCAGCCTTCAACAAGTGTACCTGCGGAGGTAATATTAATTCCCATGCATCCTTCTGCATTTTGTAATCTTATAAGTGTCGGTTCATATTTTGACTTCTTAAACACAAGCTTGCACCATTGACCATTGTGCAGAGAACTGCTATAGTCGAGGCTGTTGATGATGATGAGCTAGACAAGATAAGGGAAAGGCTTGCCAAAGTGAGGTCATAGAAGATAGCTGAACAAGGTCAAATCATTGAGGTGTTATGGCACATAACATTTCACTTGATAATGTATACACGTATCACACACAATCACAGAAGGCACCTTTATTGTGATTAACAAACTGATTTCCCCACATTCAGCAACGTGATGTTGTCCAGGCCCTGTTGTAACCTGTATGGGCCATCATTTCTAATATATCATGTATTATATGTTTTGATGCACTGTCTTTAATACTCTGAATAATCCACAAAATGCACAGCAAGCTAACTATGCAGCGCTACATATTATTGCACTGCAACAAAGTTGAAAGAGAAGAAAAGCGCATGGTTGAACACTGAATGTGAATCCACTCTATTAGCCTATCTACCCTTTTTTATTTCCTTGTGTATATCAATCCGTAGAGTATTCATCTACTGTTTACGAGCTTATTTCTGCGTATCTGAGAAGAGAAGAATGTGATGGATGCATCTTTTGGATTCATTTACTGTACAGATTGCAACTCTGCATTTTCGAATGGCTTCATGCACAGTTGAACTTTATCAGACATCATTTACTTTGCTTCAGGCATTTTCAAATTTCAAGTTCGGTGATACGTAATTTTGGCGTATCTCACTTATTACTACATAGTTATTCGAGGTCCACTGATGATCTATATGCAATTACAGCAACCATCCGTGCATATAGGTCTGCAGCTCATAATTACACGGTCGGCCTTAACTAGTGTTACTTGATTCTCAACCAGATTCATCTCGTCGTTTATGCTCGTTAGGTCTGTTTTCTCTAATAAAATTTCTTGCTTTCGAGTTCATTGCAAAACCGTCCAGGCCGTCCCCAATCTTCAGTAAAAGTAGCCCAGGAGCCCATGAAGATTCAATCCAGAAGAAAGAAGAGGCCTACTAACGAAACGGAGTAGGAATATCTTTATCGGATAGGAATACGAGGCGGCAGCGGCAGCCGACAGCAAGCGAGCACCCATCTCAACTGTCTTTGCTCAGCAAGCACGAGCACCAGGCAGGAGGAAGGAGAGGATGGAGGTGGCGGGGGCTCAAGCCCGCGCGGTTCCCCTCTTGCTCCGCCACCCCGCCTCCCTGCGGACCTCCGTCTCCGTCTCCTGCACGGGCTCCCGCCGGAGCTGGGCAGCGGCGGCCACGGCGGAGGGGGACGAGACCCGCGGCTTCGACAAGGTGCCCATGGACACCCCCGGCGCGTACCGCCTGGTGGACCGGACCACCGGCCGCAGCGTCATCGTGTGGGGCGGCACCGACGACGGCGACGAGGCCGCCATTCCGTCCCCGGCGGTGCTCTCCAGGACCACCGACCGCCGCCGCAGCCAAGGTTACAATCACACCACACCTCTCTCACTGGGACCCACGGCTCGTGCTTCGAGCAAATAGAGTGCACTAACTGAACGTACGTTTGGGATTTGCAAATCACGCTCTCTGTTTCTTCATTCATATACAAGAGAAAATTGGAAAGGATTTTCAGCTTCAGCAAATGTGGTTCTGTGCCATCATTTACAATTGACATCATCGGTCGGTCAGTCCTAGTTAAAATGCCTTGCGGCAAGGCAGAATTATGAGTCTGGTGCATGCCAGAGGTAGATTTGGCTAAATAATCCTGCAACCTGTAATTCTTGTGTTCTTTTGCTTCTTTGCGTGGTAACCCGAAGATTTCACTTCCGCTAAGGCTCAACCTATGTTTTACACTGCAGCTGGTGGGGGAGGTACAGGCATCGGGAATTTTGGCAGATTGAAGGCACAGAAAATAAAATCCTTGGTCACAAGGTCAGCTCACCGCAAGAGGGAGAGTTCTAATCGCTCAAGCACGAACCGCTCTGATGAATCTTCTTTCGATGGCTCTGATGATGAAGAGGAAAGCTATTTTGAGAGAAGAAAACCTGTCTCAGACTCAGAACGCCGCGCGAAACTGAGCAGTGACTCCAGAGATGCAAGGACTCAAAGCGCACATTCTCTTACTTCTGTTTTGGGCCAATACAGAGGTGTTTATGATACGGGCTTCCCTGCTTCAGAGGCTACTTCTGGTTCCAAAGGATGGGGAACATTGCTGATGTTACTTACGGACGGCAGAATCAGAAGCAAAGGGAGCCTCTAAATTTCCCTCAAAGAAAAGGGCCTTTGGACAGTGGGTTTTTCAGTCTCAGAACTTTTAAGGAGATTGGCTGCAGCGATGAAATCCTAGGTGCATTGAGAAATTTTGATTTCCCTCGTCCGTCTCATATCCAGGTAAATATATTTTCCAAAAGAAAAATATTCAACTTATGGAAGCATCTAAAGTTTTGTTTCTAGCATCCTGAATTGCTGTCTATATGTGTGCGCTTATGCTTTATGCAAACCATCAGCTCCTAGGGGCATTTAATATATAGAATGTTGAATTATTGCACCCATGCCTTCATTAACTGCCCAAAAACTATTTTCAGGCTATGGCATATGGCCCTATCTTGGAAGGGAGGAGTTGTGTTATTGCTGATCAAAGTGGGTCTGGCAAGACACTGGCATATCTTTGCCCTATAATACAAAATTTAAGGAATGAAGAAGTTCAAGGTCTCCATAAATCATCCCCTAGGAACCCCAGGGTGATAGTATTGACCCCTACTGCTGAACTTGCTTCTCAGGTATGTTGCTTGTTTAATGCTTTTCATGTTTTCTTATACTTAAAGATGTGGAATTGCCAGTTGAGCCTTCGGTTCTAATTTCAGGTACTTAACAATTGCCGGTTGATATCAAAATCTGGGGTTCCATTTAGGTCTATGGTTGCAACCGGAGGATTTCGACAGAAGACACAGTTAGAAAGCCTCGACCAAGAGCTTGATGTAATTATAGCAACACCTGGCCGATTCTTGTATCTGCTTCAGGAAGGCTTTGTGCAATTAGCTAACCTCAGATGGTATGGATCTTCATTATCCTTTTCCATCATTTCGTAGTGAGATTTGCATCTCTAAAGGATATATTTGAAGAGCAAAAGAACAAATTTACTTACCAGCATAAAAAATCAAAGTTCTCTCTGTCTGCAGTGTTGTGTTGGATGAAGTGGACATTTTATTTGGCGAAGAAGGTTTTGAGCAAGTGTTTCATCAGTTGATTACTGTTGCACCAGTGACAACACAATATCTTTTTGTGACTGCCACTCTTCCTCTTGATATCTACAACAAGGTTGTTGAAACCTTTCCTGACTGTGAGGTTATCATGGGACCCGGTGTACACCGAACGAGCTCTCGTCTTGAAGAGGTTGGTCATTTCCCACTTCCTTCACTATTCTTTACCTTTCATTGTGTTATACATGCTTTCTGAAGCCTCTCTAGGGATGTCAGTGGATTGTTTGATATGTCTGACATATAGGATTTCATAATGCATTGAAGTTCATAGTGTGGGCCATGGCATTAGCATCATGCATCTTTGTTTTCCTAGAATGATTTTACATCTCTATTGGTTCGACTGCAGATTCTTGTGGACTGCAGTGGAGATGACAATGAAGAAAAGAATCCAGAAACAGCATTTTCGAACAAGAAATCAGCACTTTTAAAGATTATCGGGGAATCTCCTGTCCACAAAACAATTATTTTCTGCAACAAGGTAGTCCCTTCCCTAATACCCCTGTGCACACTGATCAAAGGCAGACATACAAATCACACTGTACCCTGATAATTGTGTTTTTGTTGCTAGATTGAGACATGTAGAAAGGTTGAGAATGCGTTGAGGCGGGTTGACAGGAAAGCTTCACAAATCAAAGTTCTCCCCTTCCATGCTGCGTTGGATCAGGCCCAGCGCATCACAAACATCAAGGAGTTCCTGAACAAGCAAACGGCTGACTCCATGTTCCTTGTGTGCACAGATAGGTCAGTGTCGGCTAAACCGCATTTTCCGCCATAGCTTCTCCTTTCCTGCCCCCGTTTTTCAGTGCTGATGCTACCATTTGACGGTTCGGCAGGGCATCGCGGGGCATCGACTTTGTGAACGTGAACCATGTGGTGCTCTTCGACTACCCCCGCGACCCGAGCGAGTACGTGCGGCGCGTTGGGCGGACGGCCCGCGGCGCGTCTGGCAACGGCAAGGCGTTCGTGTTCGCAGTGGGCAAGCAGGTGTCCCTGGCCAGGAGGGTGATGGAGAGGAACATGAAGGGGCACCCGCTGCACGACGTGCCGTGCGTCTAAGACTCTAGAGCCTGGAGGCTGGAGGTGCCTGAACAGAAATCACTTCCTGGAGGCTGGACGTGCCGTGCGTCTAAGATGTTGTGCTTGTGCCCCTAGGCTAGAAACTGGAGTACAATGTGTGTGGTGTAGCATATTTTAGCACTTTGAACAGACATCTAGATCAATTCATGTAGAACAAGTTTTGATGCATGCAATTGCTGCCTAAACAAGAACATTTGAACAGAATTCAGATATGCAGTTGGTAACTCATTGTTTGCCTGATCCACACATGCATACACCATTATCATTCTAGACACAGATAGGTAACACTGATTTGCAGGCAAGTTGTTCAGAGACGTGGTAGAGCGGACGCAGTGAGTAAGTTGCTGCTACTGGGAGTGGAATGGCATGAATCGAAACCTACACGCAGCTCAGGCGGAAGCGATGGAGACCTCTGGATCGATTGGGCGATCGGCTAGTCGCGGACGGTGTGGAGGAGGTGCAGCTGGGCGTTGTGGAGGAGGGCACGGGCCTGCTCGTTGGCGGCGTCGCTGGCGCGCAGCTCTCGGATCTCCTCCTCCCACCGCTCCACCTTCTCCTTGTGGATCCTGCACGCACGGCACGAGGTCAGCGAGCGATGAAGGGGGAGCAGCGAGCAGCGAAGAGAATGGCGGCTGGTGAGGTTTCCTAGTTACGACTTACAAGCAGAGGCGGTCCTCGAAATCGGCGGCGAGGTCCTTGAACAGCGCGCGCCCGGCATCCAGCATGTCCGACACCTGCGCGCACACGCACGGACGCACGCGTGAGCTGCTCGACCGCGTTCTCCACGCCGTTCATGTCGATCGCGTCGGCTTTGCAAGAGGGTGCCGGGTGCGCGCACCTGGCGGGTGTAGTTGTCGATGGCGAGGAGGATGCGCTGGATGTGCTCCTCCGTCTCCGCCGACACCACCTGCTCCTGCTCCTCCGTCTCCGCCGCCACCACCACGGCCATCTCGTCCCCCTCCGTTTCCGCAGCGGCCGCGGTCACGGCACCGGCTGACGCCGCGGCGTCACCTCCTGCGCTCCCCTGGCTCGTCGTGTCATCCTCGTTGCTCTGCATGGCAGACCAAATCGCACACGGATTACGGATTACAATGAATCAAGCTGGTTCGCGAATTCGAATTTAAGGCCGGATAAAAACCCCACGACAAAATTCAAAACCCACGCTGAACATTTCGAATCGGGAGTCCAAATCCCCCCCTAAATTGCTCGTTGCTCCAAATCGAAGTAGCAACAGGGTTCCGAATTCAACGATTCGAAGGTGTGATCGCGCATCCACGAACTGCCAGATTTCAGATTCCGAATATAACACACACACACACACACGAACGAACGAAACCCCTAGTACCGACCAACCCAGGAAGCGATCAAGGAACTCCCGACCCCAAATTGCGAGGCGTGCACGCCAGAGAAGCAATCGATGAACTCCAAACGCTTCCGAACTAGACGCGAGCTCCCAACAAAAATCAGCATACGCGCTGCGAAGCACCACCTTCAAACTCACAAAGCAAAACAACAGCAGCCACCAAAACTAAACACGGATCGGAGAAACCCCAATGGGCAGCAGACAATTCGCAGCGGATCGCGACGAAACCAAGCAATAGGCATGGAGAAAGGAGGGGGAGATTCGCGGAGGAGGAGGTGGTGGTGGTAGCCTACCATGGCGGCGCGCGCGCGCTTGGCCTTGGAGCTCTCCCTCCCCGCCTCCATCCGTGCACCTCGCTCGCTGGCTGGTCGGGACGGGAGCAGCAGCGTAGTGGAAGAGAGAGGTGGATCGGATTTGCCAAGGATGGGCTCGCGGCCCGGTGGGTGGTGTGTGTTTCCTTTATATAGCCACAAGCCAGCCTGCTGCGAAATGGATTGTTAGGTTGGGCCGGACGGGCTACTTTGTTACGGGCCTTATACGAGCTAGGGACATGGGCCGTAGTGGACCAGCATCGTTCCCTAGCACTCCCATTTCCGTTTTCTGGATGCCTCAGCTCGACAGCTCGTGTATTCCTAGGTAACATTTTGGTTTTTTGCTAAAAAAAAGGTAACATTTTGGTTTGGTTACGGAAAAGGTTTATTAACACTCCCATTTCTGTTTCAGCTCTCTTAAGGTGGTATTCCTAGGTAGCATTTGGTTTGAGAACGGAATAGAGATTAAGTGGAATATTCCAGTTCGTTTAGTGTTTGGCTTTGAAACGATGAGGAGGAAGTCATCCTCCAGAATAATCACCATGTTTGCTTGAACTGTTTATCAGCCATAGTATAATATTTTTCTCTCACAACTAAATCAGCATCAGCCGACTTATCAGCCACAGAAACCATCAGCCGAACAACACCAATATTCTCAAGATCCAGAACTTCCCTATCAAAAAGAAATGCTGGATCACCACATTCCTTTATTGCGGCATCACACTCCATTTCCTCCACTCCATCTCCTCCCGTCCTCCACATGGGCTCCCACGTCGCCGGGCATGGGCGAGCTATCATTGGCCGTTCGGCCACCTTCGCCGAGTTCGCACCTCACCCGCACTTTTTCTCTCCTTTTCTCCTCATGCCCTAGAGTCCACAACTTTATTTATTTTATCCATGCAAACCGCTATATACGCATAGTACATCCTTGCGAACCTATAGAATTACGCAAAAAGGTGCTTTCTTTGAGTGAAAAATGCTTTTGAAAAATAAAGCCAACGCTAGAAGGGTGGATAATGGAAATTGTGAAGGAAAACTAGAAATGATGCATGATAAAAGGGTCATTTTTATCTATGTACGCTACTATATACACTCAGTACATCCTCACAGACATCTAAAAATCCCAAAAGACACTTTTCTTGAGCGAAACAACTTTTTTCTGAAAAGTAAAGCAAACACTAGAAAGATGAATAATGGAAATGAAATTCCCAAAAGACACTTTTCTTGAGCGAAATAACTTTTTCCTGAAAAGTAAAGCAAACACTAGAAAGATGAATAATGGAAATGGTCTAGAAAAATTAAAAAAAAAAACACTTTTCTTGAGCGAAACAACTTTTTTATGAAAAGTAAAGAAAAATTGAAAAAAAACATAAAAACATGCGCTAGAAGGAGGGCTTGAACCTCCGACCTTGTGGTTAACAGCCACACGCTCTAACCAACTGAGCTATTCCAGCTTATTGTTTAATGTTTAATGATATAGTTTAAATATTTTCCTATAGACCACGTGGGTACGTCAGTGCACCTCAGGTCAGGTGGTTAGGGTGTCATCCGATGACCGCTGCTAGGGCATGTGTATGGCCGTTTGATATACCTGTGAGAACTACTCGAGAAGCTTTTGATTAAAATAAGTTGGTTCAGCTTAGATTTTGTGTTTTAGTATAGTTCGTATAAATAAATGGAAGCGATGTAGAAAAGTGTAGTCATAAAAAAAACATAAACATGACTACATGACATATCTCTATAGGAGATCATATAAGTTATACCAAACAGCGCATAGCTCTATAGATCTATTTTGACAATCCTATATATGTGTGATTGGTTGCCTGTGGTAGCTCTAATGCAACATAATCTAAGCCAGCATAAATGCAATGTGTTGAAATGTTTGGTTATCATGCACATGCAAATGCAAAGTAAGATTGCTTTAGTTGGTTACACAGTGTTGCATTCATTCACCTCCATGTTCTGGTATAAGTGGGATGGGGTGAGTGTGCGTGCGTGTTGTGGGTCACACGTTGTACTATGTAATTCTCAAAAAAATATTTTCTGGATCTCATCAGGTTATGCAAACATGCATTGCCTAATACGAGCAAATTTGATGTGCTGTTAATGCAATATAACCTACTTTGAGTATTGTGCAAGTCTGCACAAGAGCCTCTTCATGCAATAAAACATGGATAAAACTACGTTGCACATATTTAGATATAGATAATACAGGCAACCGAACACATCATATATAGTACAACTTATATAGAAGGTTGATCTAATTATTTTATACCATTTTTAATCGATTATCCTATGAGAGATATGAATCCTTTTTTCATACAATATACCAAAAATATGGCTTCAGACCTCCTCAAAGAAGAAACATGAATCTGGCATTGATTTTTCTTCAAAACCATAAAGCGTCCTATTACGTCCACCACTTATTTTCTAGTCGAGTTCAAAGTTGACAGGCTATGCAAAAACTTATAAAGTATTTCACATTTTTTTCAACATATACGACCATATAAAACAGACCTCGAAGCTAGGAGCTATAATCAAATTACTCCAAAGTCAATATACTGAGAAGAGTGGTCCGGTAGAGAATCTGATGGATGATCCGATGAAAGTATATGGTCTTCCACTGTGTTATTTTAGAGTGATTTTTTAATACTTTTATAGAGCACTTCATAATAAATTTTCATAAAGTACAAGATCATGAAAACAAAGACTTTGAAGGTTGTCCACTTCTTCATATGATTCATCCGAGGAGCACGTGCAGTGCAGGACATGTTTGTTCTCACCGCTAACGTCACCCCTTGTGTACACAAAAAACTTGAAACATAAACCATATCCACATTTGTTTTTCTTTTATTATTTTTTCCTAAAAAATACGAGTATGTTTGGATTATATTTTTCAAGAACGTTTTCTAATGAAGCTGGAACATTTTTATCTGTTATTGACCAGGACAATGCTCTATGTCCACGAGAATAACTCCTCTATATTTGGGGCAAAATATGATCCAGGTTCCCGAGAAAAAAAATGTTTCATACTAAAAATATGTTTTATATTGAGAAGGATGTTCTAAATTCACCATTGCAAAAATGGTTTAAAGTTCACACGAGAAAAAATGTTCCACTTTAGGTCAGTCTTAGTGGAACTTTCATCCGTATTTAGTAAGCTGTCACATAGATAATTTTGAGTAACATAACAACCAGTGGCGAAGGGAAGGGGAGGCTGGAGGGGGACAGGCACCCCCAACATTGTGTTTGGTCTGCAATATAACCTCATGTTTAGCAACTAATGATGGTAATTAGTGCATGCAGTTTGCCTCTCCAAACTCCAGTATAGCCTGCATGGGTGGGTCGATCAAGTGCGTTGCTTTTCATTAGCTCCCATGTCCATATGCATGCCTTCCGACATGCAACACCACCGTCTCGCACTGCCAGCTAACTCTGTTGCTACAGTGGGATGTAGCACAAAGGCTATAAATAAATCTACTAATGGATATACAGTTGCATGTATAATTCTATACCTTAGAATTTTTCTACATTAGATAAATTTACTTTTTCTGGAATGGATACATAGCTCATTTTCATTTGTTACTTGCTGTCATATTTTTTTCACTCTTATGGTTTCTATACAACGTGGCTACATTCTGATTTTCATTAGCTACATACTCCTATTTCAGATCATATAAGACATTTTGGTATTACTAGATACATAGTTTTTATTTTGTATATCTAGGTGCATAGCAAAAGCTATGAATCTAGAAAAGTCAAAACGTCTTATAATTTGGAACAGAGAGCAAATAATTAAAAATTATTGGCTGTGAGCCTCTGGAAAAATCTTCGTAGACACCTTGGCTCCCATGTTATTTGGATTCTAAATCTTCACGGACACCATGGCCCCCTATGTTTGAATCTTGGCTCCGCCCCAGATAACAACATTTTTAAAAAGAGAGAGAATAAGTGAGTTGACACGATTACTATAATTCTATATGAGTTACAAAATTAAATAGCAATGAAACAGTAGAATGAAAGTATTTATCGGTCATGTATTTTTCATACTTATTTCATTTCACTTATGTGATGTGGCAGTTTGAGAAACAATGTCACAAAACTCTTAACACACATAATTATTGTTCTACTAACTACTATACTAATTCAAAATCAGGAGTCGCAAAAAAATACTAATTTAAAATCAGCGTTTCGCCGTTGGCACTGTTCCTACAAAAAGAAGCAGTAATAAAAAACAAAAAGAAAAAAATAAGAAAAAAAATCTGCAAAAGAATTTTGCGTGAAAAAAGGGACCGGCCCAACGGCCCAGGAGAAGCACCGCCCGGTTGCGCCCAGCGCCCAGCGTCCCCCAGCTCCGGACTGGTGGTATACCGCCGCCGCCGTTCACGTCGCGAGCTCTCTCTCTTTGTCGCTCACTCTGTCGCGGCGACGACTAGGCTACCGCCGCCTCCGCCCTCCGCCTGGTGCCCTTCGTTGGCGACGAGCGCACACCAGGTTTGTCCGCCCTTCTCCTCCCTACCTGCCGTGGGAAACCGAGCAAGAAAACCCTAGCTTCTATCTAGCTACTTGTATTCGGATCTGATCGAGTTGTTAGGGTACAGCGCGTATTGCTTGCGATTCCTGTAACCCCGGAGCTAGCTGCATACAGCACGAGATAGAAGATGGGTATCCTCGAGAGAATCAAGGAGATTGAGGCCGAGATGGCTCGGACTCAGAAAAATAAAGCAACAGGTTTTGCTGTCTTCACTGTCTGTGTCTTTCAGCTATGCAATTCATGTTCATCGTCTCATCTCTCCTTTTGGATGAAACTGTGCTGTGATGTTTCCAGAGGAGCACATATCTAATCATGAATTGCCTTTCAGCAGGTTTTGTATCTAGAATATCTGATCATATTCCTGTTCAGTGCTATAGATATTTATGATGATGACCACAAACTGTATCATTTGACCATCTGCTAGTAGATTCATAACAAATTTTAATGTAGACATAATTTGGACTAGTGAATTAAACAACAATATATAAATATTTTACTCAAACCAGTTAAGTATTGATGAACAATCAGTCAGATACTATCCTCTATATGCAAACAGGTGCGGATTCTCTGCCCTGACAAGGCCATGGATCTTAATCAAACGATTTATTTTATTTTGAAAAAGGAAACTCATCATAAATGCCTGTACTTGATCTATGGGTACCTTTTGGTTGCTGCATTTCCCCCTAATTTTGCAGCATGTTGTATCTGATAATATTTTTCCATTGTCTGTCATTCAGAGTATCATCTTGGACAACTGAAGGCAAAGCTAGCAAAGTTGAGGACACAACTATTAGAGCCTCCAAAGGTATCAACAGGGTTGTGAAACCACTTCAGAAATTCAGAACCTTGAAATTCGCTTACATACTTTTCTGTGGTAATTTGGGTGGCAAATTAGACCATGAAGTGAAGCTAGTATTTGTTGTTTCTTCATTCCTTCAAAGTTTTTTAAGTAGCAGCATAGTCTAAAAAGGCTAAGTAGCAGCCTTAACGTGGGACTTGCATTTGCTTCATCTCACCTGTTGGTCATACAGGGTTCCAGCGGAGGCGGAGATGGTTTTGAAGTCACAAAGTTTGGGCATGGTCGTGTTGCACTTATTGGATTTCCCAGGTCTCCTCCCACTTGAGCCTACTACTTGACTACCAGAAAGTCAAGTGTTTCAAAACTTTCAGTTTCAGTTTGTACAAGTGGATTTGTGATTCTTGGAGTCCGTTATAATCAAGTAAACAACCCTATATGTTCAACACATGTCATCTGTTGCCTTTTATTTTTGACTCATGTATGTCTGGCAAACTAACTCTCATAGCTACTGCCTTGTATATATCGAAATGGGATGTATGAATATTTGATTACTAAGCAGTAGATTTGTTTTCTCTCTCAATGGTAATGCAAGGCATAAAATGTTCAGTGTTGTCAACCAATTAGATTATAACTACTACCTCAGATCTGAAATATAAGTCTATTTAGGATATGGTGGTCAAATCTTTTAACTTTGATTAACAATATCTTCAAAATCATATAGATTTACAGCATAAGATTGACACACTAGATTCATTGTTAAAAAAATACTTTTATACTAGAAAACTATTCTATTTAAAATAGTATATTGTCATAGTATTTATATTCCTAGTCCAGGGGCCATATTGGAGGCTGCGGTGATGTTCCAAGGGACTTGTACTTGGATTTACAGCATAAGATTGACGTAACTAGATTCATTGTAAAAAAAAATACTTTTATACTATATAACTCTTCTATTTAAAATAGTATATTGTCATAGAGATTGATATTCCTAGTTGAGGGTCATATTGGAGGCTACGGTGATGTCCTAATGGACTTGTGTTTGGGGTCAGAGGGAGTACAATATGTCTCATGTGTTGTGACTTGTGAGAATATATCTTGCAGTGTTGGAAAGTCAACTCTTTTAACGATGTTGACCGGGACACATTCTGAAGCTGCATCATATGAGTTCACAACACTTACTTGCATTCCTGGAATTATTCATTACAATGATACCAAAATCCAGCTTCTCGATCTTCCTGGTATCATTGAAGGAGCCTCTGAAGGCAAGGGGCGCGGTAGGCAGGTAAATGCTGCTAATGCTTAACTGTTTTTGTATATGCTGATTTCTTTTATCCGCATTAAAATAGTGAATTGTTTTTTACTAACATGTCGAGGATGTTTTCAGGTTATTGCTGTTGCAAAGTCATCAGATCTTGTGCTGATGGTTCTGGATGCCTCAAAGGTTAGTATTTGATTGAAGAATCTTTGCTTCACTTCTGTTGTTATCTTTATTCTATCCTTAGGACAGCTAAGTTTTCGAAGCATATCAAGATTTTATGTTAGGTGAGAGGGGAGGGTCAGATGTCAAGTTTATGGGCACTCTGTGCCTCTCATGGACAGAATATTTCAGTCCTCATAATTTAATCTAATTCTGACAAGAGCTAAAATACCACATTTTCCTTACCAAAATAATTTTACTATTGAAGTTCTTAGATAACTACTTCCACAATCAAGTTTATTGACTAGCTTCCTTTGCAAATATGCATCACATCACAAAATTATCATATCAGAGTTGTATGCAACAACATGGGCAGTTATAAAAATGGGATTAAATGGAAGAGGCGATAAGAAAATTCACTAAAAGGATAGACAATTAGGAGAGCGAATGCAACAAAGAAAGAAGAGCTAGGAAAATCCGTGGTGGTTTGGTGCTGTGCTACTTGGCTGGACAAGGGTATGGTGGATTGGTGGCAAGAAGTGGCACAGAAAAATAAAGTTGCAGCTTATGGATGAAAGAGCATAACAATAGCATATCGGGTGTAATGCTAAGTTTTGGTTCTGGCACATGTGGAAAAATAAAGTTGCAGCTTATGGATGGAAGAGCAAAAATATAGCACATTTCAAATTGCATGTTAATTGCTTTATTTGTTCTACAATTTCAGCTTTTTAGTTGTAACTGAAAGCTTATAGTGTTACTGAGTAAGCCATTGAGCCTCAAATCTACATCACTGAAGGTATTACTTATATCTGCTGAACTGTGTCATTTCATAAGCAACATGATTACTTCAAAGTCTGTTCTTAAATATTTTTGTGGAACCTTTTAAAAGTAATATAGTTGCTTGAAAGTTCTTGCATAATCGTAGTGAACGTCTAGATCAAGGGTAGATGGTTTGCACATCAGGTGTGATGTGATGGAGTGTCTTTGTTAGAGTATGGCAGGGGCCTATTGGGCCTGGGCTGGATGTATATGTCATGTGGGGCCGTACGTATAGCCGGCGCAGGAGGAAGCGAGACGTACGCAGGGCAGCAGAACGCGCGGAGGGCGCGTTGGGCGCGCGCGGCGCAGCGGACGGCTCGGCCTCGACGGGTGGCGGCTGAGTTGGATACGTAGTTTAGTTGGTTTCTATTTTCAGTTTAGTTGGTTTCTGTTTTTAGTCCTTAATTATAGGATCAGTTAGTTTCCTTACGTGTGAAGGCCTCAGGCCATATTTATAGGCTGTAATCGGAACACTTGAGGATTAAGCAAGAATATTATCCTACTCCCATCTGTATCTCTCCTAAGCCTACGGTAGAGGGGTATAACCTCACCGGAGAAGACGGCCGACGGCTACGAACTCCGTAGCCGCGGTGCAGCTAGTCGAGGATTTGACGACCTTGACAGTATAGCCCATTAGTGTTAGGGTTAATTAGAGATAAGAGTCGCTTGCTTAGGAGTCAAGTAAACCTCTCTATATAAGGAGAGGAGATGTATCAATCTAATCAGGCAAGAATTAAGAAGGAAAACCCTTCCCTCTTGCCCGGCCGTGGGCAAACGCCCCGCGGCCGGCTCTCTCTCTCACCCTCGCAGCCCTAGCCGTGAACAGTACCTGCGGTACTGTAGCGTCGCGGGTACTGTAGCGCGTCAGCCGCCGTCGCTCCCCTCGACTCTCTCCTCTCGATCCTAGCAGCCACATAACAGTCTTAGTGTGTAAGAAGATTAGCAACGGACGAACTTCCGATTCTTTCATGTTTTAAGCCTTATCTCATTTCCGTTTGTTTATTACATCACTGTTCTAAATTTCATTTCAGAGCGAAGGACATCGCCAAATATTAACTAAAGAATTGGAAGCTGTCGGACTCCGTCTTAACAAAAGGCCTCCCCAGGTATGCATGCATAGTTGAAAGTGTGACAAATATAAACAAATGCAGATACCGACACAAGTATACATATGGAACACTTTAATTATTAGACCTTTGGGTGCTCAGATAAGTCATTCTTTAAATGTGGTTCGAAGAATGGAACATTCTGAACATGTTGGGCACGATTCTAGTCCATAGATCATGTAGTAATGTCAGGCCCACAATGAAAGGCAGTGTCTGAATCATGACTCATGAGCCTGAAGTCGCCAACCAATGAATGCCACTTCCCATGGCATCTCTAGTGCAGGGTGCCCCCATAATCTGTATTGGATGACCTGTATTGCATGTACTTCTAAACCTATCATTCCATGGAGATCTGATGGTCTGACTAGGTGCATAATTCATCCAGACCATAACTGCAACTAATTGTATTTTCTTATGCTAGTATTGTATGCTTAATTAATCATAAAGCAGCCAAAAGTTTATTCAGCTAATGGATCTCACAGACCTACACTCCTACTCCATAGTCCTTACTTAGCAGGAATACATTAATTTCGCATGTAGTAACACCAAGAGGTGAAATGCAGGTATAGCCGTGTAGGTAGGCTTGGATCCCATGATGTAATTGTTGCAAGTGCACTATGTCAATGGTATAAAATGAGTCTTGTATCTACACAAAATACTATTTCAAATTTGTTGGCTGCTGAAGTTGTCATTATCTATGACTCAAGATGCAACATTTGGGTACTATATGATGTGTATGTTGGGTGTGGATGTCATGGGATGGAGGGTGCAAGTTAAGGTTCGACTTACCATGGGCAGTTTAGCAAGCTCCAAATCACTTTTTTACTTCACTGAATATTCTTACCCTATACTACATGAATTCTGAATTGTTGTCTTATTGACAAGTGCTGACCCAATAATTATGTAACTTGACCAACAAACTCTATTACTATGGCTCTTGTAGGAGGCCTAAATATGTAGTTTTGTGTCACCAACTATGCTCTGCTGCTTCTGACTTGTGGGGTGTGCACTTATACCTTCTATGTTCTCTCTTGGTACCCTTTTGTACAAATAGATATACTTCAAAAGGAAGAAGACTGGCGGCATTTCTTTCAATACTACAGTGCCTTTGACTCATATTGATGAGAAGCTCTGCTATCAGATTCTGCACGAGTACAAAATTCACAATGCTGAGGTGCGTGGACATGCTTTTGGGTATGCAGTCTCTTTGCTGTCGATTCAACTATTTTGTTTATTTTAGGTGTTATTCCGAGAAGATGCTACTGTGGATGATCTCATTGATGTTATTGAAGGAAATCGAAAGTACATAAAATGTGTTTACGTATATAACAAGATTGATGTTGTTGGTATTGATGACGTGGATAAGCTTGCTCGGCAACCAAATTCACTAGTGATCAGCTGCAATTTGAAGGCATGTTTCATCCATCACCTGCATATCTATCGAATTTTGTAATGATCCTTGTTTTGCCTGTCGTCCCTGAAAGTTATATTGCTTTATTGGCATCTCTAAATGACGGTGCACTTTGAGTTCTCCACAGTTGATTCTGTTTTATCTCTCTTTATTTTTTCATTGTGACTGAAACTATTTGTTCTTTGCAGCTGAACTTGGATAGGCTACTGGCAAGAATGTGGGATGAGATGGGCCTAGTGAGGGTGTATACAAAGCCCCAGGGCCAGCAGCCTGATTTCACAGATCCAGTTGTTCTTTCTACTGTACGTTATCTTCCCTTCCCTCGGTTGCTTTTCACTCTTGCTTTTCCAAGGAACAGGGGGAACAGGCTGGCTGACACCCGTGTTGTGTACCATCAGGATAGAGGTGGTTGCACAGTCGAGGACTTCTGCAATCATATCCATAGAAGTTTGCTCAAGGATCTGAAGTATGTGCTTGTATGGGGAACCAGCGCAAGGCACTATCCACAGCATTGTGGCCTCAGCCATGGTCTTCAAGATGAGGATGTCGTCCAGATAGTAAAGAAGAAGGTTATGATCTGCCCTTGTCTGATTTGGTCACATCTCGAAGCAATATATAAATACAGAGAGATTATTACTTTAAAGGTTAGCTGTGAAGGCGCTAAAACCTGTTAATTGAAACTTTCAGGAAAAGGAGGAGGGTGGGCGAGGCCGGTTCAAGTCGCACACGAACGCACCTGATAGGATATCTGACAGGGTGAAGAAAGCTCCACTGAAGACATAACTGATTCCCTCCCTGAGCGCGTCGCGACCAGCTTCTCCAAATCAGATGGACAACCTTGATCGAGATCATATATTCCAGAACTAGCTGAGCCGCGGCGTGCTACTTTTTTGCAGCCTTGTTTTGTACTTGTACCAGAACAGAAGAGCCATATTTGGAGTACTCCATAGATAGCCTTCCGTATCTCGTCAAAGTAGCAATACAAATGCGGCACCACCATGAATGGTGCTTCGTCTTGCTCAAATGATGTGGGCTTATCACTGTGTGTTACCTGTTATATATGCCAAATACTTACCAACTCACGAGTTCTGCATAGATGATTTCAGTTGTGGGACGAACACTTGCTTATCATCACCAGTCCTGCATAGATAAGAGAATGGCAGTTTGTGGGAACATTTGCTTATCATCAGCAGCCTAGCCTTTGTTGTGGGAAACATTTTGCTTGAGAGACTCGTCTCGTCCCCATTGCTTGGAATGCGCAATGCAGGGCCAGTTTATGGGAAACACAGGACATGCGAGCCCATCGATCGCACTGGAAACCAGTAAGTAATACGCAGGAGTAGTAATTCGTTATTTGTTGCCTTCTATTATTCTCGTCCCTTGATAGGAATGGAATGGAACAAAGTAATAGAACTCAGTAATTACTAGAGTAGTACTACCTACCAGTCATTGGTTGATTAAGAAAACGCTGAAAAGTATTGTTGAAGTAATGAATTTGGGTACAGCTTAGCTTACCCAATTCCTAGCAGCTGCGATCAAGCGTGAGCGTTTGACGTGTGCACAGTTTGGATTGCGGAAAATATTTTCTGTTGCTGCATTTTTTTTAATAAAATTGAATTAATTCCTGTAAAATTCCTGCTCGATTTCCACAAAATTCCTGCGTTCTAAGCCAACATGCGTGGGCACGTGAGGCTCAGCATCAGCGTGGTGGTACACTGGGACTGGGTACGCTTCCTGTTTCTGGCCTGCGTGCTCAGCTCTTGAGGGAGCGAGGCAAATATCGACAAATAAATTGCTTCTCCGCGCCTCTCGTCCTCTCCTTGCGGAACCCCTGAATAAAAATTGCATACTTGGAACTTCAATCGTCGCGTTTGCAGTTTTGGGACTCTAAATACCGACTTCGTAAAAATAGGTTTTCAAACGTTAGACTCTTGATTTTTATGATATTATGTGTATTTTCTCCCTTTATAATATATATACGTATATTTGACATCTCAGTGAACCTTTTCTACCCTCGGATGTTTTTCCATCATACGTATATGTTGAGACCGACGCGTCGTAACCGATGGAAACACCCATCTATTCGTACTGCCGCCGGCCGCCGCCGCCCTCCCCACGCCGCGATCCCGTCTTCCCGAGGCGATCATGGAGGGCCGACCTCCGACGCCACGCCCGCCCCTTTGCTTGCCTCCACGGTCATTGGGCGCCCATGACCAGCAATGGCCAGCAGAGCGCCGAACCCACGCGATCCCAAGGAGGTGTGGAACTTCATGCGGTGATCCCCATGGAGAAGGGCACGGTGGCGGAGGAGGCGGTGGGCACCACCAAAGATGGCGACCACAAGCACGACGCAAGCGCATTTAAGCGAAGAGAGCAAGCCGAGAGAGAGCAACAGAGCAAGCAATAAATGCTTCAAAGACGGCCGGTTCTGGGGAGAGAACAACTTCACAGGCACCGAGCTCCTCAAGCACACTCGCAAAGGTAAACCCCGATCGATCTTTGGGGCGGCGAGCAAGAAGCGCTTCTTCGACTGCGGACGGCAGAAAGCGTGAGCGATCGAGTTGAGTGTGGCAGCCAGCGGGAGTACAAGATGTGGACCAAAGGCGTCGCGCGCCTCCTCGCCATCGTCGACGGACGGAAGCGCCGAGCCTAACAAATGCCCGTCGGTCTTGGGGTGTGGTGGCGATGATTCATCGCAGCCTCATCAGAAATCATGTAGATGTAGCTAGGCAGGGATCTCATGTCGCGGCTGCTGTTAGAGAAATGAAATCCTAAGTGATTTGCTCTGACGCTGATGTTACCTGTTCATCTCACTTGTTGGAGAAAATTGTCAAATGTCAAATACATGTATCTAGATTATAAAATGGAGAAAATATACATAATGTCATGTAAATCAAGAGTCCAATTGAAGGACTATTTTTACGAAGTATGTTTGGAATCCCAAAACTACGGAGCGCGACCTGTGGAGTTTCAGATATGCAATTTTTCTCAGTTCCGAGACGTCCCCAAAACCCTAAACTCCCCCTTTGCTCGAATCCCCGGCCGCCGCTTCTCCCATCCGCACGAAGCGCCCCACAAAATGCCGCTGGTGACGGCGGCGAACGCGACCCTCATCCTGGACCACGTCCTGGGCGACCCCTCCGTCCCCGCCGCAGCCGCCGAAGCGCTCCTCGCCGCGCTCCCCTCTCCCTCCAACCCGACCCCGCGCCTCCGCCGCGCGGTCCTCCTCCGCAGCCTCGCCGCCGACCCGGTCTCCGCATCCTCTCTCGAAGCCCTCCACCTCCTGGCCTCGCTCCCCGCCACCGCCTCCGCCTCCCCCATCGCCGCCGCCTACATCGCCGTCGCGGCATTCGTCGCGGCCTCCGCGCCCGACTTCGATGCCACCGCCAGGGAGCTCTTCGCGCGCCCCAACGGCAGCGCGCGCCGCGCGGTCGACAAGGGAGGTCCCCCCGCGCTCGCCTCCGATGTTATCATCGCCACAGCGGACCAGTTCGAGGCCGCTGTCGGGAACTCCTCCTCCCAGACCATCCTCAGGGGCCTGTGGAGCAACCGGGCTGCCGCGGAGGAGCGGGTCAGGGACCTCCTCGCCGCCGAATGGGCCGCGATTGGGCCGTCGAAGCTCGTGACTGCGGCTGAGCGGATCGTCGGGGATGGGGCCGTCGAGACATGGCGTGCCGCGGATGAGGCCACCGGTGCCAAGTTCCGCATCTTGGGTAAGGATTTTTTTTTTTTGGTGTGTGGCAGTGCAGGGCATTGTGGTTTGATGAGTAAAATTTGTTGGTAGCCTCTGAATTGGATGCGTTTCGATGCTACAATTTTGCTCATGCCATTTCTCTCTATCCCGGATCCAGATGGAGCAGAGAAAATAACTTGCTCCGTAGTGTAGAATAAACGCAGATGCAACTCAAGTTTATATGCAAGCAATGTAAATTGTCATACATTGTATTTTGCAGCAGCATTGTGATTTGAGTAGATTGCTTTATCCGTGGTGCAAGTGCAATTCAAGGAACTAGTGTGCAGTGGGGCTTTTCTGTATTTTTTGTGATATGATAAAAAATGGGAACATTGAGTCGGAATTTAGAGGTCATATTCATCTTGGTCTAGAAATCTGTTTGCCTTATAGTGTGCTCTCTGAAACAACCATGAGTTGAAGCTATCCCAAACAGACTTTGTAATTGGAGTGTACTCTGTACTTGCTAACTTTGCTACTTCTAGTTTCTTGTTTATCATAGATCTTGTGAATACTTTTGATGGTGCCACAACAATATTTTAATGGCTTTATACCACTCGCACCAGTTATTTTAGTATCTTTTTGTTTGTCTGCATCTATGTTTCTTATTGATTTTGCAATTCTATGCACTCCATGTAGAGCAGTTTGGGTTTCATCTCTTTGGGCCAGCTCCAGGTCTTTATGTGCATTGATAGATGCTAGATGTTTTATTTTTCTAATTTGCTATGGATTCTGGTGTTCACAAGTTCATGGACTTCATAGCCTATAATTGATTATATGAAATGAAACCTACAGCTGGGGAAGAAAAAACACGTGAGATTCTCGCCAAAATTGAAGAATCTACCTCCAGCGCAAATCCAATTTCAACACCAGCTGTTGAGAAGGTGATTGACGCGCTCAAAACAAGCTGTGCTGACCTCCACAGTGCTGTGGAGGATCCGCTTCCAGCTGCGAAGGCAGTTGCAGATGAGGTATTGGCTGCAAGGATGGATAAAGGAGTTAGCTTGAATGCTGAAGAAGTAGGAGGTCAGCCAACAACTTGTGGTGCTGCAGGCCCGAGTACTCTTAATGATAAAGACCATGGTCCAAGTAGAGGCAAACCTCATAACCTTATGGATCGGAACCCAACAGCACGGACCTCTCAGGTTTGCATTTCTTTTTAAAATATTTTTCTTTGCTTTTGAACATTGTCCATGCTGAACTTGCTTTGGTTGTTAAATTGAATTTGTTGATTGTAATAGCTAGCTTTTGTCTCCATTGCGATTGAAAATGATATCAGCACCTATATCATGCCAATATTTTGCATTAAACATTGGGTGTGTACTTTTTGTATTGTTCTGTTGATTGAGTTTTCAGTGTGAATTGTTCTCTACATTGCCAAGTTTCTGCTCCTGCCCACATTCCCTGTGTTTTCTTCAAAATCGGGATGATATGTCTTCGGAAATATTTTGAGGACATATGTGCTCTTGGTAGGATGCTTTGACCATGACAAGAAATAATCAAATTTGGTCACAAAACCTAATAGTTGTAGGATTTTGTTTCACTTTAGTAAGTTAGCTACTGAAATTAGGATTTTGGATTATGAATGCTCTACTACAGTCCCTCTTCGCGTGACACTTAAAAAGTAAACTTACTGTAGTCTAATTTGAGCTCAATCAAGATACCTCATACCATTTTAGGTAGCTTATAGGATAGCTCAGTATCATAACTGCAAAATTTTCGATTTTGGTCATGTTTCTAAAAATAAAACACTTGTTTGCAGTGGGAGGATTCACCTGATGTTGAGGGGTCAGAATCATCATTACGCAGACCGCACTCGCTTAGCCCAAGGAGAATGCCACCTTCTCCTTTGCAACCTCCAGAAAACAAAAGTAAGCGTAGAAGGGCAAGGAAGTGGAGCTTGTTCGAAGAAGAAACACTGAGAAAGGGTGTTGAACAGTATGTTACTTTGTCTTGGTGTTCAGATATTATTGTTTGACATCTCAGCTTTCTTGTTCTAAAACGCTGGTGTTTAAATTGCTGTTGCTGTATGTTCCTCATCATAATATTGTGCTTGTTTCATGTGAAGGTATGGTATAGGCAATTGGAGGGATATTTTAAATAACAATCTTGACGTTTTTATCGGCAGAACAACGGTGAACATTTGGTTATTACAGTGAAGTTGCTGTGGTGTCTTTTTTTAGCCTGTGAAGTTGCTGTGGTTGCAAATCAATGTAGTGACGGGTTGTATGTATTGTAGGTGGACTTGAAGGATAAGTGGAGGAATATGACTGGATAAGGTTGTATGTATTGTACGGACCTGTTCGTTTTGCCCCCAAACCATGGGGATTGGGGAGGATTGGAGTGGATTTAGGAGGATTTTGACTTGTAGGGGATTTAATCCCCCCTCCCCTGCCCCTTCGGACAGGACTAACTTCACGCTCCAAAGCACCTCGTAATGGTACTAGGGTGAAGTAGCTAGCATGTAATATATAGGCAGAACTTTTGTGACAAAATGCTTACCGAGTGGTTGGTTCGCCGGACTGATGTATTATGAACACTACTTTATATTTTTATTATGTACGTTGTCCTCATGCCCTGCATGGTTGCATTGTACTGGCTTTACTCGCATATTATGGCCTCCTATGGAACAAAAGAGGATTCATGAAGGAATTTTGTGTAGGATTCTAAATCTATAGAAACTTAACGAGCCGCTTGTATCGTCAGCGCTTGAGAAGGTCATAGGGCATTACAAAAGTAAGGCTTGCTTCGACTTTGGTGGCTTTACCGTAGTTCATTTTGTAGTACCTACCACAGTAAATTTGAGTATTTGAGTGACGGGTGAAATGAAAGCCAAAAAGGCCTGAGTGAACACTTGCAGGTCGGCTCGGCACGCGGAATTGACGAAGCCGCGTTTGCCTCTCTGCCTTCGGGGGAAGTGGACACTGGACACGCAGGCGGCACGGGTGCACGGCCCGATCGCGATCGCCACTCGCCAGCCACAACCACAGAAGAATATAGGTTCCACTCCACCGCCAAGGCAATGCATGACTAATTACTCCACCTTGCTAGCAGGGCAGCCTTTTGTTTGGCAGTTTTTTTTAACCTGTTTAATTAATCGTCTGATGGAGCTGGATCAAATATGCTACTTTTGAACTCGGATTCATGCATTTAATTAACTTCAGGTTTTTAACTGTTACGTTAGGCGAAATAGCAATCATCGTCCCTAAATTATTGGCCGAGGCTCACTTTGGTCCCTCAACTTTCAAAGCGTCCAGTTTAGTTCTTAAACAATCCATTTGCAGGTCGATCTCGTCCATCCCCATTAATTAATCGCCACGTGTCCAGAAGTATATGCGAAATGTCATTGCTACCCCTCGCTTCATCCTTTAGTAGCCGGCCATCTCACGGCGTCTCTCAGGTCCCGTTTCCTCCCTCTCTCAGGTCCCATGTGGAATGGATGCAAAAACAAATTGTTGAAGTCTGTCGTGTCTCATGTCCAGAAACAAATTTAAGGCAAATTTAACATGTCCGATGATCATGTTTTTGACATAACAAATGAAAGTGTTGACAAACTAATCACTGCGTGATACAAAGGCATTAATATTATTGCCTTGAAACTACATCTTTTTCTTTGACTGCACCTGGTGTGTTGATGTTTTTTTCTTAGATGAGCTGCTTTGTCCTGATGTTGCTCCACGTCCGAAGTGATGAGGACTGGATGTTTGCAGAGGCACGTCCACCCTTTACATTGATTGATGCCTTTGCAAATGAGCCAGTAGTCCCAGCATTGGTCTCAATGACAATAGAAGCACTCCCTCCAGCACTTGCCTTCACGGATGCTTGAGCACTCTCTTCAAAAGATATCAGTCATCTCTTATGGCCATATTGTAAATAGCAAAGGCAATTTAGACAAACATACAATTTACTTAGGCTGTACCATGGACATGTCAGTATTACTAACCTGTACTCAAGCATCTTACTCTGACTTGATGATGCCGCTATGGATTTTCCTTTAGTTTGCTTGGACTGTGCAGGTTCAATTGCTAGCGGGGTTGACTGACTTGCATTGGTGGCGGGATGATTAGATGACCCAACGTGTTCTTGCTGCTATGTCCTCGAGTAAAATGAGTAAGGAATGAATACAGTGCAGTAAGGGGAAATAGTAAATTCAATAAACACCATTATCACAGAGCATGTCCTCGAGTTGTGACCATAATTTCCACAGCGACGACATCTAATTTTAGTACCAACTTTTGACGACTTGGTTCCTGATTTCACTGTTTCTAAAGGGTCTTTTCTCCTCTTTTTTTTGGTCGGTCTGGCATTTTTTTTTACTCTAGGAGGCAAAGTCCACACCTCTTCTGCGTCGTGGTCGCATATCAGCAGGTGTCCGCCTCCACTAGCAGAAGGGGCACGTCTCACCCCTTCCAGCGCTGCGCCATCCCACACTACTCTCCTCCCCAAGAAACCCTAACCTAGCTATGCAGCCGCCATGAGGAATAAGACAGGGAGAGTGGAAACAGGGAAGAGAGGGAGGAAACGGGACTGAGAGACACCGTGAGCTGGCCGACCGCTAAAGGATGGAGCGAGGGGCAGCAATGACATTTCACATCTACTCCTGGACACGTGACAATTAATTAATGGGGATGGACGAGATCGACCCGTAAATGAATTGTTTAAGAACTAAACTGGATGTTTTAAAAGTTGAGGGACCAAAATAAGCCTCGAACAATAGTATAGGGACGAAGATGGATGTTGTTACGTACTAGTATTTCTCGCTCACGGTCCACACAGTCTACGAGCTAGCTGTTTTTCAGAATGCCTCCTCGATTGATCTGGCTACTAGACGTGTGTGGCCAATATATCATATCATATAGTCCAACGCATGCACAGTACGGTTCTTATAGTACAATAATAGTAGGACGTGCTATATATACTTGCGTTGGAGTCATCATACGGCTAGCAAAGAACACACATGCACCACACGATAAGGTTAATTATATTGTGGTCGGTTTATGTTGGTAGTTAGCTAGTTGACGTTGGTCGCCCCAATGCTACGTTAGGTCGCCCCAATGCTACGCTTTTTTAGGCCCGGGTTTTCGATTGTCTTATCAATCGAAATAGTATTTGGATTATTTTTCAACGGGGCCTTTCGTTTTTATTATCTAATTGAAATCTAGCTATCCGGTTTTCTAGATATTTCGCAGCAAAAGGAATCGATCGAAAATAAAGATATTTCGTTATTTTTTTTCAGGTAGCGTCTAAAATCCACGTCATTGTTATTTCGTGGACCGTTCGATCGGCATGTATCGATGCGTATTATCTAACTGATCTATCTAGCTATCCGGCGGCCTGCGCATAGATATTTCGCGCGCGGAAAGGACTGCCAACGGCAATGTATACTAGGGCCAATCCAGGATATATATATATTTGGTTTATTGCCTGGGGTCAGTTCTCTAAACACTGTTATAACTAGAAAGCAACGCGCGGCGTTGCCACGCGGCTTACATGGAGTGCTGCCATTATTGTGAATCTGGTTTTAATGATGTCTAATACAATACAATGTGGCTCAATGTCACCTCACTACTTGTTGGTGCTCATGATAAGTATTTAAGAATCTAAGGTGTTACGAGTCAGTGACATCATAAATCGTATAATAGCAAGCATAGCATGATGGCATGGTCTATCTACTTCAACGAAAAAGAAAGTCGACATTGTTGAAATTCAGCCGATCAATGACAGTTGCTGCTAGAGCCAGAGCCGCAGCCTCAGCCATGAGCACTGAATTTGAGCCTGTCATGAGCGCCTTGATGTAGATAGTTTGCGGAGGCTGCATCTGATTGTTGATAATGAAGACGCCAATTCCAGCCTTTCTCGATGGAATTGAAGGATGATCAGGCAAAGTGGATGCATCAGCATAGCATCTGATGCCTTGAAGCAGTGGATCGTGTACCTGTCCATCGAAATGGCAGTGCATCCTGCAGCTGAATTGTTTATACCTGATGATCCAGTGTCATCGGTGGATGGCCTGCAGTGCATAGTTTGTCAATGTTAGGTGAGTATCTTCCTGCTCGTTGTTGAGTTACGCCAGAGCCCTTCGAATGAGCCTCCAGGTGAAAGTCTTAATAAGAGGAGGAATCTCTTTTAGTTTCCACATCCTACGGAGGATGTGATTGGCTTGAGGAAGAATGCTTCGCGAGCCTTGTTGAGGCAGCTGGACCTGCATCTGTGCCCTTAAATGCCTGTAAATATTTTTAGTTGTGCAATCGCCCTTTTTTTGCCGGAATCCATGTAAGAATATCTTGCTGGTCACTATGCACAGAATTAACCTGAGAGATGATCTGGGCTCCTTGCGGATCGAAAATGTTATTATATCTGTTTGAGGTCAAACAGAGTTTTTTCTTCAACACCTTGCTCCATGTAGTCTTCGTTTTGGAGTTCCAGTTTTTGAACTGGTGTCACCTAAGATGGCAATCTGTTGGGAAGTTATAATAATTAACGAAACATGAATATTTTCAGCATGACATAATTGCATTCCGTTTCAGCAGGTAAATCATGGGTGATTACAATAAGGAGTAATCAGAGGCTGGCAAGGCAAACTCGAAGACTATACTGCAATGCATGGGACTGATAAAACAGATCACCTTCGTTTCAGGGTGCTGAACCTGATGTTTCAGTTTTGTGCTGTAAAGATTTACCAAATTAAACAGGTCAAGCAACTATATAAATAGCATGAGCTCTACTACAGCACGGTCATTATCTAGAATGGATTATATATTTGAGCATTTCAGCTGAATTATGTTGTCGCAATCCCACAGACAAGTAGTACACATGAAACTGAAACTGAAACTAAATTAAATTAACCCATTCAGGCTCACATAGAAGTTTAGCTAAATTCAAATGATTGGAAATAAGTGATCCCAGATTACATGAAAGCTATTGCTGAAATTGCATACCTTTTTTTTACTCTTTAGCCTTGACTTATTTGGGATCAGTTCTTCGTGATGATTCCTGAAAATACATGGTAAATTTCTATTGGAATAAGTAGTACTGAAATTGAAGTAATGCAAATTGACATAGCACCACATATAGTAATCTGTGTGGGGGCACTCATGAATGAGCATAGTTTGGGGATCGAATACAAGGCCCTTTTGCTTCACGTGCAGGAGTATCACAGTGTCTACCTATTCTTTTGCTGCTACGACAAGAGGATGAACAGTACAAGCTAATAAGAGCTTGCGCATTGGTACTAATCCATGCAGAGGAGCCGGCGCCGCGTCTGGATGTCGCAGCGTCTGGAGCCCGCTGCCGCGCTGGGAGCCCCCGCGTCGCCTGGAGCCCGCTGCCTTGCTAGCTCGCTGGTTGCAGGGATATGCGCCGGTGGCCTGCCGCGCAAGGGACCTGAGCCGGTGGCCTGCGCGTCGCCGCTCGCGCCGGCGACCCGAGGCCGGCCGCACCCACACCTCGGCCGGGAGGCGCCGCGCCGAGGGCACGCCGCCACCGCCGGGCCCCACTCGCGCCGGCGCAGCGCCTGCAGGGGCGCCGTCGCCTGGCACGCGCCGCCGCGTCAGGAGGGAAGGGGAGAGAGAGAGAGAGAGGAAGGGGAGGGCGAGATGGAGGTGAGAGGCAGGAGAGGGAGAGCAGAGTTCGAGAGCTTTTTTGAAAAAAATCTTGAGAGGAGGCCTGGACTGTGGGTTGATTCGACTAAAGATCGAGTGCTTTTTTGCAAAAAGACCGCGGCTCGCCCGATCTGGGACGTCCGCGCGCTTGGCCGAGAAAAACAGGCGACGTGGCCACTCTCGCCGGCCAGCTTTTGGACCCAGGATTCATATAAGAAGATTACCAAATTAGAAGAAAAATTTGTTGATATAAAAAAATTAAAGTGGAACTACATTGGAGTCTGCAAAGGTCGGAGTTGGCTGACGACTGGAACTACATTGGAGTACTTGCATTGTTCAATTGATTGTTGCACTTCCTGCATTGTTCAATTGATTGTTGCACACGTATAAATGAAATCGATGATAATCCTGGCACAGAGATCACACAACCAAAATAAAGGGGGTCTGAATTGTGGCCACACTTTGCCAGCCACAGCAGGCAGGATGGATGGCTGCTGTCCAGGCAAGAATCTCAAGCGAATTGAAATGAAATCGAGCGCCTGATAATCGTGGCCACTGGCCAGGCGTCCTGCTTCTTTAGCCTGGGGGTTGGGTGGGGACAAATTCCAGTCTCTGGCTTCCTTCTATAATTTACGAAAATAAACGTTCCGGCCTGGAACGGTCCTGGCTTCTTTAGGATGGCAAAGGCAAGACGTCCGGTTTTAGAAATGACATCCGGTCTGGCCAGACAATTCTTGTCAGACTTCTATTTAAACAAGTCCTAACTATCCATGGTGGTATAACTGCACTATCCATGCCGGTGCATATGCAGGTCTACCTAGGCTACATCGCACGAGCAGGCTTGGCTCCCACGCCTCCGAAACGTGCGGGCGTGCGGCACCACCGGGGCGCGCGCGCGGGCCCGAAAATTTACTCTGGTGGGAGGGGGGCCGCCGGCCTGGCCCGCGTCCACGTTGCTCGGTTTTCTGCCAACAGCCGTGCGCAGCAATCAAAGGCAGGCAGCCTCTGCCTCTCCGTCGTCGTCGTCGTCTGTGAGTCTGTCTCTAAACAGTTATTATTGCAGCAAGCACTCCGATCCTTGGTCCTCCTTCCCCTAACACTTTTTTGTCAAAATGTATGCTCTTGTTAGTACGCTCTCACATTCTCTTGCCATTGGGATGGATCAATAACCAAGAGAAGGGGAAGGGGGTCCGAGTCCGAGGGGAAGAGGCCGGGCATGGGCAACATGCATGCATGCATATTTGACAAATTATTATTGCAGCACTCCGATCCTTCATCCTCCTCGCACCCCCCTAACATTTTTCTTTGTCAAATATAATGCTCATGTTAGTACGCTCTCACATTCTGGACTGCTGTAGCGTGTAGCCAGAAGAAAGAAAGGCTATATTATATTATATAGATAGATCGAGTAAAACAAAACAGAGAGTGATTGGGATCGATCAAATTCTAATGACGTGGATCCTCCTCGCCGGCTAAAAGACAGGATCGAGCAAAACGAGTCGATCAATAATGGGCAACATGGGCATGCATGCATGTGTGTCACCCATCATCAGGTAGAGGAGGAATGTCTGTCGTGCTGTGGTGTGTTAGTAAAAGTTCCAAAGGGAAGCGTCAAACCAAAGCACAGTGCACGTACCACGCAGCCCAGTAGCACTAGCACCTTCCTAAATCCTAGATAATAACATTCTTTAGTATTACTAGCTAGCTACCGTACCACTGGTGTTAACTAGAGTACTTATCACATATTTATTTAATCTACAGCATACCATGCATGTTCATTGTACTAGCTAGCTGGAGTATTTCTATTCCATGGTCCATACCAAACCTGGAAGGAAGGTTTGATGAATTCATGAATCCTTGGAGCTAACTACTACGGCCAGAAGCTTACTCCTAAGCAAGAAGAAGAAGAAGAGAAGCTTCAGTGCAGGGCGGCGGCAATGGGGGGCAGTTGCGTTGGAGGTGGAGTCATGTGCGTGCATGTTGCCGCCCCCTCCCGGCCTCCCCTGCTAGCTTCTTTCTTTTCTCGCGTGCATGCGTCCGCCATAAGATACTATTTCACGCATCCGCTCTCATGCATGGATCAACGTAACCACCCGCGTTGTTTATTTCAAGGGTGCCTAATTAAGAAATTCATTCATTCTTGTAGGATATGCATGCTGATGGCACATAGCCTTATCATGTACCCATGCGTGCGTGCGCGCTGCTACTTGTTGGCTGTGCAAGTCATTCTTCATTTCCTGACATTGTATATACCTTATCCCTGCCTCAGGTTGCCATTAGTAGGGAAGGGAGGAGGGCACACCAAAGATACCCCGTCGCTGGCTTGTACCTCCTCTGATATCTCTCAGTTTGTCCTAGGGCAGGCTCTTTCTCTTTGGAACTTTAGGGGATGTCGTCGGATTAAAGTTGCATTTGTATTTACAATTCTATAGGAATCCAAAATGTAGATTTTTTTTTATTTATTGCTAACGTGGGGACAAACAAGAAATGATAGATGAATTCTATGAGATTGACTCTCATGCAAACAAGCTGGGCACGGTAGTCTATGCAGCGGTGGGTATAGGCATAAGCGAGTGTGAGGAGAACTAATAGAAAATCAATTTAAACATTGGTTTGGTTTAAAATTAAACAAAACAAGTGTTTTTCTCTCACAACAAACCCAAGATCTTTAATTAAACGGTAAATTTAAAACCCATCAGATGGCCGAATGTAGGACACACGATAAAAGTAATAATAAAAAAGTTTTTATAGATAAATAAGTAACAAATATCGCTTGACTCTTTAAACTTTCATGGAAAAACCAAGTCCGAATAAATCGCGCCGTCTGTGAAGATTTGCTGCCCTTGAAATTAAGTTAATCTAGACAGCACAGTCCTACTCTGCCTGCGTACCGTCACGCCTTTGCATGACGAGAAATCACGATACAAGGCACTGTAGCTATATAACCTTTGCCGTTACAGAGCCGGCGTCACCGCCTTTGCAGAGCGACACTGTAGTCCAGTTCAAACTGTAGCAGCGCCTTTCTTTTGCACGCTGCCGTGAACGGGGAAAAGGCAGCTGCAGTAAAAGGCGCCGTTTGGGAGCAAGCGGAGTGACCAACAGACAGGCGAGGGCAAAGCGCAGCGCAGGTGTAGTAAAACCGTAAAAAAGCGACGCCAGGCGGCCAGGGCTTTCCCTTTTTTTACTGCCATACTAGCCCACAGCTGACAGGTCACTGGCCAGAGGCTGACAAGCCCGCAGCGCGCGTGCCGGCTCCGCACGGCCGCAACGGAACGGGGGACCGTACGGATACGGCCGCGCCCGCCCCGTCGTCGTTACTCCCTCCGTCCAGGAAAAAAACACGGGAGTACCTGCGACGCCACCGCCGTGCACCGGGTCCAGGCCCACTCCAGAGAACGGCGCGCGCGCGGGACCATGGCTCGGGCGCTGGAACGCCGCGCCCACGCGGCCCGACGGCGAGCAGGGGCAGCCCCGTCATTCCGCCGCTGATTTGAGCGCGGCCCCCACCCCCCCCCACCCGCGCGCTCCTCGATGCGCGCGTCCGCTTCCCGGCAGCGCGGGGCCCGCGCGCCTTCCCCCATCTCCCACCCCACGTAGACCGGGACTCTCGTACGCCCTGGCGGACCCCACCGTGTCCCGGTCCCCGCGACGTGGGCCCCCGCGCGGTTCAATCAGCCGGGAAAGCGTAGCCCAATCACGCGCCACCCCCAAGGCCAACCCAACCCCCGGGCCCGCCCCGCCGGTGCACTGCACCGCGTGCACCGCCTCCGCGTCCCGTTGCGCGGCTAGTCCAGCAGGCCAACCCATCCGGCCCGGCCGGCGTCTCTCTCCTCCGTCCTCCGCTCGACTCCGACCGCTGGGATATACAGTTGGCCGTCTGCTTCGGCAGCACAGTGCTTGGCAGGCCACTGCTGCGAGCGAGCGAGCCCCAGCCCTGACCACCACCGTCTCCCTCTCTCTCTCTCTCCTCTCGTCACCTCTGTTGCGAGCTGCGACTGTGCACGCTGCTACTACTGCAGCTGCTGCCGCTGTTCCACGTCTCTGTCTCCGCTTTAAGGCTGTCACCTTTCCCCATCCCCTACGCCCTCCTGCCCTCCTCCCTCAAACTATCAATCACGACGCCACAACCGCACCCGCGAACCCTAGCTAGCACCGCGCGCCGGAGCCCGGAGTAGGTGCCTGCTTGCTCTCCTGCGGTGGCCGTCGCGCTTGGCGTCCGCTGCCGTCGTCGCCTGATCCGATCCACCCAACCGTCAAGCGCCTCCGGCGATCGATGCGCATGCGAGGCGCCGCGGGAGGCGGCTCGGGCTCGGGCAGGCTGTGAGGCTGTCCGTCCCCTCCCCTCTTCTGCGTCGTGTGCCTGCCTGCGCGTCTGCTCCGCCATCCGCGCCGCGCCGTTCCTCGCCGAGGGGCCTGCCTCTCACGGTCGGTCAGTCGGCCTCGCCGCGCGTTTGCTTCCCACAATCCCACCCACGCAGGTCAGAGCTCCGCGCCCCAGGATCTAGCTACCTACCTACCTCGAGTTCCCGCTAGCTTTTGCACACAAGGCTCTTGTCTCGCCTTGCTTCTGCTGTGTGGATCTGTCCCGCTTTTGGTGTTTGCGCGTGTCCACTGACGCTGCCGATTTGATCGCTTCAGGTGTCTGCCATTTCCGAATCGTTTTGGTAGAATTTCGTCTTGTTCGTTTTGGCCAAAGTCCAGTTCTAGTTTTACTACTCCATTTCGCCTTCCCTCCGTTCTCGGAAGTCGTTTCCACGATTTTATCAGGTCAACCTGCACAATTTTGTTGTGTGCATCTCGATTCTCGACCCCCAGCATTTGTACCTTTGCAGTGAAGTTTTGATGCCCACGGCTGTCGAAGCAAAATTCGGTGCCATAGCTCATTGCAGTCCTCCATTTCCTTTGCCTCCCAGGGATCTTCGCGTGCTGGAAGTTGAAGTGCGAGCGGGGCCGAGCTAAGAGCAGCAGCAGTTGAAGGCGGAGAGAGGGCGACGAGATTTGTGTGGCTACGCCACGATTTTGCGTTGCTGAGGGAATAAGGGAACAATGGCTGCAGCGGTGGCGATGCGAGGGGGAAGCAGCGACAGCGGAGGATTTGATAAGGTTCCCGGGATGGACTCGGGGAAATATGTGCGCTACACCCCGGAGCAAGTTGAGGTGCTCGAGCGGCTCTACATCGATTGCCCCAAGCCAAGCTCCTCACGGCGGCAGCAACTGCTGCGCGAGTGTCCTATACTCTCCAACATTGAGCCAAAGCAGATCAAAGTCTGGTTCCAGAACCGAAGGTAACCAAATCCGACAAGTCAAAGTCGAGCCACACCACAGCCCACTAGTTCTAATGGAGAATGTGTTCCGCGTTTGGATTAATGTGCCTGTCCCTTCTGTAGGTGCCGTGATAAGCAGCGGAAGGAGTCTTCGCGGCTTCAGGCTGTGAACAGAAAGCTGACGGCAATGAACAAGCTTCTTATGGAAGAGAATGAGCGTCTTCAGAAGCAAGTCTCTCAGTTGGTTCATGAAAATGCGCACATGCGGCAGCAGCTGCAGAATGTAAGTCTTCGATCAATGTGCTGGCCTTGTTGCTTACAAATCACGCTATTGCTAAAAGTCAGTTTGCTGATGCCGTATTTGTACCATGTCTGTGAAGTGGAGTCCAGTTTCCTGCAGTATTTTGTACCTTATTAGCCCTTCTTTAGTTTGCGAAAAGTTTTCCCAAAAAGTGACCCATCACATTGAATCTTGCGATACGTGGAGCATTAAATGTAGATAAAAAAAAACTAATTGCACAGTTTGGTAGGAAATTGCGAGACCGAACGTTTTGAGCCTAATTACTCCATGATTGAACACTAATTGTCAAATAAAAACGAAGTGTTACAGTAGCCAAATTTCCAACTTTCCACCAACTAAACACGGGCTTAGTGCTGTACTGAACTAGCATTGGATGACTTTCAAAAGTTTATAATGCCAGCAAATTTATGCCAATGAGGTGTTAAGTCCACATTATGCTGTTATTTGGGGCTGGTGCATGCAGTACCCACTGAAACCTGTTGTCCATGTGATGGTGGTGTTGAATCTATTTAATATTGAACCCTGGTCCCTGGGATAATATAATGCCTACCGGAGTATTCTATCGCTGCAATGTCCTGATATCATCTATTGATTGGGCACACAGACTTCATTGGCCAATGATACAAGCTGTGAATCAAATGTCACTACCCCTCCAAACCCTATAAGGGATGCAAGTAACCCTTCTGGGTAAGTGAATCGTTCTGGCCATCTGGAGAAGGATTCTTGTTGCATAACCTTGCCATTTCAAGACTGTCCTAATCATAGTGTCATTTCAATTCTTGTTTCAGACTCCTTGCGATTGCAGAGGAGACCTTCACAGAGTTCCTCTCAAAGGCTACTGGGACAGCTATTGATTGGGTCCAGATGCCTGGGATGAAGGTTATATGTCGACTCTCAATTCTTGTTCTTTGGCTTAAGTTACATTTTTCTTTCACATAAGTGCTAGGTGCTAACTACATTTTGTTTTCTGATTAGCCTGGTCCGGATTCGGTTGGTATCGTGGCCATTTCGCATGGTTGCCGTGGTGTTGCTGCCCGCGCCTGTGGTTTGGTGAATCTAGAACCAACAAAAGTAAGTATTTAAATTGTTTGGGACCTTGTGCTACCTTTACGAATGTCCCCCTTGTTTTCTTTGTTCTAGTCTGTAAATTTGCAAGTGATTTGTGTAACTTCTGCATATGATTAGACTCTTTTATGTGTCTAATTATTTATGACATACCTCCTTACATCTAAGCAATCTCGATTAAACTCATGGATCATTTATATGATCTTACAAAGGCCCTTGGATATTTTCATATTTTGCCTATCAATCATTGATACAAATTGTAGCATTTACTTTCAAGAAGTTATTTGATCCTGATATAGCTATGTTATGCAGGTCATAGAGATCTTGAAAGATCGTCCCTCTTGGTTCCGTGATTGTCGAAGTCTTGAAGTGTTTACAATGTTTCCAGCTGGAAATGGGGGAACAGTTGAACTTATCTACATGCAGGTGGGCAATTTTATTTTGCTTCATTGGTGATGTTTCTTTAGCACTTCTGGCGAACTGCATGACTCATTATGTCGATGGTAATATTTTTATGTTCCTGCAGATGTATGCCCCAACAACTTTAGTCCCTGCACGTGATTTTTGGACGTTACGATACACGACAACAATGGAAGATGGTAGCCTTGTGGTATGTGGTCTGAATTGCAGTTTTGTTGCTTTTATCTTTATAACGGAGGAACCAGGACACTAATATTTGCTAATCTTCATCTCCAAGGTCTGTGAGAGATCCTTGAGTGGTTCTGGAGGCGGTCCAAATGCAGCCTCTGCACAGCAATTTGTTAGGGCTGAAATGCTTCCAAGTGGGTATTTAGTTCGCCCATGCGAAGGTGGAGGTTCGATTGTGCATATAGTGGACCATCTAGATCTCGAGGTCTGGTTCCCACCTTTTATTATTATTTTAATCTTTTGATGCTGTTAGTCTGTCTGTTATCCATTAATGATTGTAGTGGGTTTCATCTTTCAGGCATGGAGTGTTCCTGAAGTGCTTCGACCGTTGTATGAGTCTTCTAGAGTAGTTGCTCAGAAAATGACTATGGTGGTACGTGCTTTTTTTTTGGCCCTATGGTCTTTTTAGTTTACAACTTTTGATTTTTTTTAATAAGGTCACCAATAATCGGTTTCTATTTATTCATGAATGAAAAGGTCTGTTTTATATGTTCTAAGTAATGACTGGCTGTATACTTGGTTGCATTTAGTTCTGCGGACGTGTTTGAATAGTTCATTCTTAGCACTATACTTCATGCTAGCTGCTCTGTGTATCCAGGCACTGCGCCACCTTAGACAAATTGCTCAAGAAACAAGTGGAGAAGTAGTATACGCCTTGGGAAGGCAACCTGCAGTACTACGGACCTTTAGTCAAAGACTAAGCAGGTGATTTTTATTAAACTTTAACCGCAACTCTCATGTACATCTTGTTGTCCAGTTTAAAACATAAAAAATATTGTTCTTCCATTAGGGGTTTTAATGATGCCATTAGTGGTTTCAATGATGATGGCTGGTCTGTAATGGGGGGAGATGGCATTGAAGACGTTGTTCTTGCTTGCAACTCAACCAAGAAAATTAGGAATAACAGCAACGCTGGGATTACATTTGGAGCCCTGGAGGCATTATTTGTGCGAAGGCATCCATGTTACTGCAGGTAAGGGTGATCAATATTTGTAGTGCAGTCTTCATATTTTATATTTAGAAATAAAGGGGGAAAAGCAGGAACCGTTACATATTGTGTTGTGCACAAGTAAACAAATGAATAGCAGAGTTTTGTTTCATTACATTGTACCACTTAATAAAAAACATTATATCATCCTTGTTTGATTTGCACTTTATTGAATACATTTCTGGCTGTGTACCATCTATGCATTGAGACCTAACGGTTCTTGTACCACAATTAGTGTTAAGCATAAAGAGGCACAATAGATGTCTTTCTGATTGTACATAAACATTGTACACTAGAGATTTAGGAATTCTGCTTAAATGCAGTTGTGCGTGCACATTTGACACTAGAAATTTGAGTTTCGCCCCTGTAAGGTGATTGGAAGAGCTACAACCCATTTGAAAATAAAAAAATATGCTACTGGTATAAACACTTTTAACATGAACATGTTTCTTTGTTGGTATTTTCTAGAGTGTCCCACCAGCAGTACTGGTCCGATTTCTGAGGGAGCATAGATCTGAATGGGCCGATTACAATATTGATGCGTATTTGGCTTCATCACTGAAGACCAGTGCGTGCTCACTTCCTGGGTTGCGACCTATGAGATTTTCTGGGGGGCAGATGATCATGCCACTTGCTCACACAGTGGAGAATGAGGAGGTATGTTTGCAGTTATTTTGTGGAAAGCCTGTGTCTTTGTGAAGCTAATTGATTTCGTTTCCATCATTCGCGCTCTCATTGTTTCCTTAGTTATATTAGATGTACCATGTGACTTATAATTACTGTCATTGACTGCTGAATAACAGATTCTTGAAGTTGTCCGCCTTGAAGGACAACCTCTTACTCATGATGAAGCTCTTCTTTCAAGAGACATCCACCTTCTCCAGGTAAATATTTGAGTTCCATATATTCTTTTGTTTTGAAGTCCTGCATTGCCTCACTGAACCAAAAGGTAGCAAGATCAATGTCTTTTAACTAACAGGATGATTATTCTATAACTCTTATGACTTAGTCGCTTCTCAAAGTTACGCTTATAGGCTCTTTGACATTTAAATTGTCCTGTAGGCTCAGAAATGAGCCTTGTTGATATTTGGTTAATTGTCTCTTTTTACTGTACATGAAATGAGATCTGGCTACTGATTTTGGTTTAACAACAGGCACATGTCTGTTTAACAATACTAATTGGGTTCTTGAATAAAGAAATAGATCAAGGTTCTAAAAGAGAGTATCTTGAGCAATTCGTTTTAAGACCATGCATTGCTAATCATTCCTTTGTTTCAATTTTCAGCTTTGCACTGGAATAGATGAGAAATCTGTGGGTTCCTCCTTCCAGCTTGTGTTTGCACCAATGGATGAGCACTTTCCGGATGATGCTCCATTGATTTCTTCTGGCTTTCGTGTTATACCACTTGATATGAAAACAGTTAAGCATTGCCAACAACATTACCTTTTCCTTTTTTTTTCCTTGTTTGGGCAGTTGCTTCATTTCCTTGTCTACTATGTTTATAATTACCCTTAACATGTCACTTGATTTGGATCGAGAGTATAAGTGTTCATCTGACAGTTTACATTCTGTTAGAATGATAGTTTGTTAGCCACATTATCATACATTCAGGACTTTTGTTTGTTTCTTTTTCCAGCATATCTTATTTTTCCCTTTTGAAACAACGCTCACATTTCCGTCATGGCCTACTGTATGTAGGATTGTGATATTTTTAACAAACATATTGCGTTCTGTTCTAGCTAGCTATAATTTGTTACCTAGTCATTTGTCTGTCTGCTGGTAAAATTTGTATTCTCGAATGCAGTTTTTGACCATCTAGTCATTTGGCTCTCATGCAGGATGGTGTATCCTCTGGCAGGACGCTAGATTTGGCATCTAGTCTTGATGTGGGTTCCGCTGCACCCCAAGCCTCAGGGGATGCATCTCCAGATGACTGTAATTTGAGATCTGTGCTGACAATCGCCTTTCAATTCCCTTATGAGATGCACCTTCAGGACAGTGTTGCAACTATGGCCCGTCAATATGTTCGTAGTGTTGTTTCTGCTGTGCAAAGAGTGTCGATGGCTATATCTCCCTCCCAATCTGGTCTAAATGCTGGGCAGAGGATGCTTTCTGGCTTCCCTGAAGCTGCCACACTTGCTAGATGGGTTTGCCAGAGTTATCAGTAAGTGTTGTAATTTTCTTCCTGTGCTGTTTCTGATATCTCGCCTAAATGGTTTGATTATTTTTTATTGTAATTTCACGGCTATTCTTTTGGGCCCCGATACAGCTACCATCTAGGTGTGGAATTACTTAATCAATCAGATGAAGCTGGCGAAGCATTGTTGAAAATGCTCTGGCATCATCCAGACGCTGTTCTGTGCTGCTCTTTTAAGGTATCAGAAGAGTTTTACTAAGTCTGCAATATTCTGATCTGTTTAACAAACTTCTAAAGTAGAGGCAGATTCCTCTGCCCATGTTAATCTTTTGCAGTAAAATTTTCGTGCTGCCTTTTGTGCCTAATAATAAATTATATATGGATTACGCATGAGAGCATATGAGCCTGCACCCTACTTGCTGAATGATGCAGTTTAGTATACCTTTTTCTGTATTTCTTAAGCTCATGCTGCACCTTCTATGAATGCTTTGAAATTACTTTTTGCTATCATGTGAGAATCATCTATACTACTAGTGATTTTATTAAGTGTAGTTTTTTATAATCATGCTGGGGTCTGCTTTATTGTTTCAGGAGAAACCTATGTTTACGTTTGCAAACAAGGCAGGGCTTGACATGTTAGAAACATCTCTTATTGCCCTGCAAGACCTGACACTAGACAAGATTTTTGACGAGTCACGAAGGAAAGCAATGTTCTCAGATATCTCAAAACTAATGGAACAGGTTAGAAGTCAAAACACAACCATCCTTGAGACTGAATCTGAGATGTGCGTACATGCCCAACAGCTAACATTCTTACTCGTTTTAGGGCTACGCATACCTGCCGTCAGGGGTGTGCATGTCAGGAATGGGTCGCCATGTTTCTTTTGACCAAGCTGTGGCGTGGAAGGTGCTCGGTGAGGACAGCAACTTGCACTGCCTGGCTTTCTGCTTCGTCAACTGGTCCTTCGTGTAACGCCAACCCATCGGATGGGATGGCGAGCTGGTCGGTCTGTGTGATGAGCAGGCCCATTTTTGTATGATGATCCTGATAAGGAAAATCATCAGCTGTGGCAAAATGCTTATGTTGCATGCACTAGTTGTAGGTCTTGGATCCAGTGTATTTATGAAGAAACTGGAGATTATGCCAAGTCTTGTCGCACTTCCGTTTGACTACCCGACCAAGGGCTGTTTGTCAATCTCGTTTGGCAAGGCAACCGAGACGATGCTGGCAGTTTTGGTTCGTCATTCCATTCAGATGTTACTTGCTGATGTTATGGTGTCGCTGATGTTAAGGTCTGGATCAAGCCAGGAGCAACAAAAGCATGCTGTTCCCAAATAGTGCAATGGCACACAATGGAGCAACAGCGATGCACGCTACAAATTCAGGCTGTGTTTAATTGCTTTTGTTTTTTATTTGGCAATTAATGTTTAATTATGAACTAATTAGGCTTAAAACGTTTGTTTTGTGATTTCTAACTAAACTCTGTAATTAGTTTTTTTCATCTACATTTAATGACAAGATTTTGATGTGATGATTACTAACACTTTCTGTGAAACTTGCCCTTTTTGGGAAACTTTTTTGAAACTAAACGTGACTAGACTCAGCATTACCCAAACAACCGCGCCCCAGTATCTTTCAATCAGAGAACTACAGGGTAAAGCCATGCCCAGTTTTTCCGACACTATTATTGGCCCGCGTTGAAAATCTTTATCGTTTCGCTTTTGCAAAATTTGGTATGTACAAGGAACTACTGCTGGACGCCGGGAAAACAAACGTTCGCTGAAACTCACTCTGGCTCGAGGAAAATATATGCCAGCCTGGCCTACACTGTCTTCAGAAAACATAATTATACTGCAGTAATGCTTTTGGAACCAGAAACACACTCCAGGTAAGAAACTGAAAACTGGAGCACATGTAAACGAATGAGGCATGTCAGAGTTCATAGATGAGCAGGTCTCTCACATAGCTAACGGAAACGCTTAAACCAACGACCCTTCACAACAATGGATACGAGACACAGCAAAATTACGATTCTTTCTTCTCTTCCGGTTCTGGTTCAGGCACCTTCTCTTCTGCAGCCTCCTCAAATGTCTCTCCTGGGACAAGCTCAGGGACATCGTCATCATCCTGTGCAGCTGCACCGGCGCTAGCTTCAGCACCAGGTACCTGCTTCTGGAAATGCTCAGCAAGCCTCTTAAGGTTGTCCAGGTTATCAGGGCCTGAAGACGAAGCTAAGGTTAGGCAAGCAATAACAATTGTTGTTTCTCAGGAAGCAAATAATCAGAGTGCAACCGACAAAACAATGTGAAAAGTGCCATACCCAGTTGGTTGATAATTGATGGCAGAAGGTCTTGCAGACCTGTTCAAATAAGAAAAAGCCAATGAGAAACCAGTTTCTTATCTTATACGTATAAAAAAGAGAGAAAGCAGTTACATCATGTTGAGAAATTATAATGGAGTAACAAAATCATCTATGCCTCAGGTTGCATTAAACATTAAACATTAAGAAAGGTTGCTTTAGAAAAAGGGTTTTATACAACATAATTTAATTTAATGTTGTGAGGATCATGGAGAATATATAAAAGGAACTAACAACAACAACAACAAAGCCTTTAAGTCCCAAACAAGTTGGGGCAGGCTAGAGTTGAAACCCAGCAGAAGCAATCAAGGTTCAGACACGAGAATAGCTATTTTCCAAGCACTCCTATCTAAGGCTAAGTCTTTGGGTATATTCCATCCTTTCATATCTCATTTTATTGCCCCTACCCAAGTCAACTTCGGTCTTCCTCTGCCTCTCTTCACGTTACTATCCTGGCTTAGGATTCCACTACACACCGGTGCCTCTGGAGGTCTCCGTTGGACATGTTCAAACCATCTCAACCGGTGTTGGACAAGCTTTTCTTCAATTGGTGCTACCCCTAATCTATCACGTATATCATCGTTCCAAACTCGATCCCTTCTTGTATGACCGCAAATCCAACACAATATACGTATTTCCGCGACACTTATCTGTTGAACATGTCGTCTTTTCGTAGGCCAACATTCTGCACCATACAACATAACAGGTCTAATCGTCGTCCTATAAAACTTGCCTTTTAGCTTCTGTGGTACCCTTTTGTCACATAGGACACCAGATGCTTTGCGCCACTTCATCCACCCTGCTTTAATTCTATGGCTAACATCTTCATCAATATCCCCGTCTCTCTGTAGCATTTATCCTAAATATCGAAAGGTATCCTTCCTAGGCACTACTTGACCTTCCAAATTAATATCTTCCTCCTCCCGAGTAGTGCCGAAGTCATATCTCATATACTCAGTTTTAGTTCTACTGAGTCTAAAACCTTTGGACTCCAAAGTCTCCCGCTATAACTCCAGTTTTTGATTCACTCCTGTCCGGCTTTCATCAACTAGCACTACATCGTCCGCGAAAAGCATGCACCAAGGAATATCCCCTTTTATGTCCCTTGTGACCTCATCCATCACTAAGGCAAACAGATAAGGGCTCAAAGCTGACCCTTGATGTAGTCCTATCCTAATCGGGAAGTAACACTCAGAAGCAATTCAGATTCACACCATTAATTAGTTGCAACCCTTACATTTACAGCATGTCAAGAATAATTAAAGTACGAAGGTAAGCATAGTCCAGCATTTAACCATTGGATATCGACAAATACTATTAGCCTATGAGGCTATGGGTGAATAACAGACATAAGAACCAAGACTGCATGATAGAAAAACAGCAAACCGTGTATCAAGCATCAGCTAAGTATCTGTACTACTGCTTAAACAAAAAGGGTACTTGAGCAATGATCAGGCATGCACAGGTTGAAAAGTAAATGATCCACTCACTCTTTGTCTGGGGTACTCCACTGACTACCCATGTATTTGCAGGAATGGATGCTTGCACTGCAGGTAATAGAGAAAGATTGACAGTGTTAGACAAAGTCAATAATCTGTGGAGGTAAAGTATTCGCATGGTGAGATTTTACCTTTAGGGTTCTGAAATTGGATAACAACGTCATCCTTGAAGATGTTGACCTCCTCAATACCAGGAATAGTGTTCACTCCGATTCTTTTCAACGTGCTCTGAAGCCGCTTGTCATCGGTGGTTGTGGTCTTGTGAACTGCCTTCTTCTTCCTGTCAGCATTTTTTCCTCATAAATTGTTAGCATGGGACTATGGGTCCAGAAGCAACTCTATGAACAGATCGTATCACAAACACAAAAGGCTTAAGTGCTTAGATATCCGCAATTGGCATGTAAACAACTACGACAGGATGTGTTGGCACACAACTTGCCACAAAAAGACAGCATGTGTCTTTGGCAGAACGGCATACATGTGGATGGCAAAGATGCTACTCAATCCATCCCAAATTGTAAGACGTTTGACTTTTTTGACACCAAGTTTGACCACTCGTCTTATTCAAAAATTTGTATAAAATATCACTTCTTTCGTCGTGGTTTGGTTTATTAATAAAAATTCTTCAAGAATGACTTAAATTTGACTATATTTACACAAATTTTTTGAATAAGACGAGTGGTCAAACTTATGGCCAAAAAAGTCAAACGTCTTACAATTTGGGATGGAGGGAGTAGTTAGCAAAAATTAAAGCTCCATACAGCCTACCTGCAATTTTGAACAATAGCACGTGCAAAACGTTTTTGCAAAACGGTATACATGTGGATGGCAAAGATGCTAGTTAGCAAAAATTAAAGCTCAATACAACCTACCTGCCGTTTTGCACAGTAGCAATGAACAAAACGACAATCACAGTTTCATATTACCTTTTTCCAATCATCTGTTAACAAAAACACACAGTTTAATATTACCTTTTCTATCGTACTTAACCAGAAGGGCAGGCCTGGTGCAAGCGGTAGAGTCTTACCGCCTGTGACCGGAAGGTCCTGGCTTCGAGTCGCGGTCTCCTCGCATTGCACAGGTGAGGGTAAGGCTTGCCACTGACACCCTTCCCCAGACCCCGCACAGAGCGGGAGCTTTCTGCACTGGGTACGCCCTTTTTTTTATCGTACTTTACCAAAAACTATGTGAACTGTAACAACACCAAGATACTTGTGATGATGAATATAGCAGAGCCATTCCCATGTGACGAATCTAAACGCTTTTATTGATGTGTAGGCTTGGATCAAAGTAACGTTCGAAAACTACACGGAAGGTAGAAGCATTAATAAGTGCTACCACCGCAGCACATGTGGAAGGCACGAGGAGGATGCACCTGCGCATGCTGCCCTTTCCTCCTGTGCGCACAGCACCCGCCATCTTCTTGAGCTTCTCCACATTCATCTGCGTGAGGACAAAAAAAAGGTCACGAACCGTGAGCGGGTGAGTCGAAGGAGCCACACACATGCAGTACGTCGCTGGCGAGAACACAACCATGCGAATCCAGACGGCACGAGTCCAGAAACCGAGTGGAACGATCTCCAAATCGCACACCTGAGTACACCGAAACGGCAGAGACAGGCAGGGCGGGCTGCTAAACCGAATCTCACAAGCAAGCCGCCCCTCGCTGCTTGCGGGAGAGATAAATCTAGTCTAGTTTAGGCCACGAAACAACGGGAGAAAGCGCAGCCCAGATTGAACGCGCAGCCAACACAACGTCGAACGGCGATACCAGTAGCAAGCAATCGAGCAATGCATCTGGATCGACGGAACCTCGCTCGTATCAGCAGCGGGCCAGCCCTACCCTAGCCTAGCAAACGAGGCAAAAGAAACCGCGGACCTCGCGAGGCAGCCAGCCCAGGGTACGCGGGGAGGAGAGAGGAGGGGGGGCAGGCTCACCTTGGACAGACGCGGCGACCGGCGGCGGCGGGTGGAATGGGGGACGGGGGGAGACGGGAGGGGATTTCCTGAGCTCAGCAGGAAGCAGATAGAGATAGGGGGGAGTCGTCGGGTCGGGAGGCCAACAACCGGTGAGCACGAGAAGGGGCTTTTCTTCGAGACTTTTCCCTGTCTGATATGATGCTCCATTTTTATTGGCCACCAAAAAGTTTGTAGGGATTATAGTGCCACGACGTTAACCTCTTTTTTTTCAATACATCATTCTGTCCAGTTTTATTTCTAATAGTGGATAACGACGTAGCCAAATGACTTAGATGACTTTAGATTTAAAAGACTCGGTGAACTAATTGTTTTTTCTATGTGCCGTTCCTAGACCAGCCCCAGGCCGAGCGTTTTAGCGCCAAAGCCAGAGTTATTGGCGCCAACTGAGACCTTGGGTTTCTCCTCCTATATATAGGTCCTCAGCCCTATTTATGTATGTGAGTAGTCATGGATGAATGGATGTATGGATGGATGGATGAATGAATCAATGTTGAATGATGAATATGAAGATTGTTTATTTGTCCAGAATACAACAACATATGAAAACAATATAACAACAATTATAGTACTACAACAGTAAACAAACATTCATCACATAACAGCAGCTACCTTACTATTTTTTATCATAAAGGTTTCATAGCACCAATATATCACCAACATTCATCACATAGCAGCTAAGTTATTGATTTTCATCTACAGCTAAGTACTGTCATGCCATCACAGAACATTCATCACAGAGCAAAGAAACATGTTCTGTTTGGTAGGATGACCACAAACCTGAAGCCACTACCACCCTTAGCACACAGTTCTACCACACCATTAGGAGAGGTTGTGTCGGTGCAGAAAGTGACCAACAAGTGAATATTTGTAGTTTTGTCGTATGTTGTGATCGGAGGTGGCCTAGCACTCAATGACACAGGGTTTATACTGGTTCAGGCAACGTGCTCTACGTCCAGTTTGAGTCGGTCGGTGACTTTATTCCTGAGCCAAGGTGCTCGAAGTTTACAGTGGGGTTACAAACAAGAATGAGAGAGATGTGAGGTACAAGAGGTCCGGTCGGACTCTGGTCAGAGGGACCGAAAGCGATAGGAGCCCCGCTATGAGCTAAGTGTTCAAGCGCGTGCTTGTGGTTCGAACCTAGCGGTTCTGTGGTTGTGTACTAGTGAACTTGATCGATCTAACGAATCTGGAATGACTTAGAGAGCTTGAATCAACCTGGGTTAACTGTCCCTTTTGAAGAAAGGGTGCATCCCCTTTTATAGATGAAGGGGATGGCCTTATAAGTGAGAGGGAGAGAGTACGTATGCTACTGAGCCTTGCTGCCCACGTCGGTGGGTACAGGATAAAGGTAGGCGCCCAGAATACTGTTAAGTGTCGAAGGCACATGGGAGGTTTGTTTGTTTTCTTTGGGCGTGGCAGACGTCGGCACCTGCTGCCCTGTTGATTCTATGAGGCATGCAAGGGCTTTTACCATATTCTCCTGGTACGGTAAAAGCCGGCGCCCACAATATTGTCGATGCCCAAAAACATATGGGAGAATCTTACCGTATGGGAGTTAATGGCGCCCACAATACTGTAGGGGAATGTCGGCGCCTACAATACTGTTTGGGCTCTATTGTGCCAAGGAGGTTGCAGAGTACTGTTTCTCCAGGTGTATAGGGTTCGGTCCTGGTATCGTGCTTTGACTTGTGCGCCCTGCCTTGTTTTCTCCGGACGTTTTCTGGTCCTTACCGAGTGGGCGTCCCCGGTCGGTTGGTCCCAGTCGGCTCTGATCGTGCCAGTCGAAGAAGGGCAGTGAGCAGCGGCTTGGCGCATCTCCGGTCGGAGACGCGGGTCAGAGTTGAAAGTAGTGCTTTTGGCCAGGCCTTTCGGTCGGAGAGGCCGTCCGGAGGCGGGCTAAAGACCGAAGTGAGTGCTCCGGTCGGAGAGGCGGGCTAGAGTCAGAAAACAGAGCGTTGTTTCTCCTCGGCCTAGCCTTCTAGTCAGAGATTGGATCGCTCCTCCGGCCTGTCGCTCAGGTATTTGGGCCGGCCCATGAGTTGCGCGCTGTCTGCTGGGGCCGAGCCTTTGCAGGGAAGCCGGTCCATGAGGGACCCTAGGTTTATGAACCCGACAGGAGCCCCAAGCCCCTGGGCGATTCGGGCAGAATCATCTGGGGGATTTTTGTCTTAACGGCGGATGCGCACGAGCGCACCCATGGGTGTAGCCTCCGAGCCCCCGGGTGGTTCGGGCAGAACCGTTTAGGGTTTTTTCGTATTGCCAGCGGGGGAGGTTTTTGTTTCGTCGACGGGTGCGCGCGAGCGCACTTGCGGGTGTCGCCCCCGAGCCCTCGGGCGGTTCGGGCAGAACCGTCCGGGGTGTTTGTTAGCGGACGTGTGTGCGTGTTTTTCAGTCGAGACAGAGTTATCAACCAAGGCGTCGTTGTGCAGCCAAAGCGGTTAGTTGTTTTTGGGATTGGGTGAGACGGAGCTCGCGGATCCTGGTGTCGATGCGCGCCGTGGGATCGGGCGAGGCAGTTAGTCTTTTAGGGATCGAACGAGACAAAGCTCGCTGATCCTGGCGTCGGTGCGCGCCGTGGGATCGGGTGAGTCGGAGTCATGGATTAGTATAGGGATTGGACGTGATAGTGCTTGCTGAGCCTAGTGTCGGTGCGCGCCGTGGGATCGGGCGAGTCAGAGTCATGGATCCTGGCCTTGGTGCAGCCTATGCAGTCAAGGCTGTTTTAGTTAGTTAGTTTGGGATCGGGCGAGCCGGAGCTCGTGGATCCTGATGGGGCGAGTTCAGGGTCGCAGACCCAGGTAGTTTTGGAGCGCTGTCGAAGTGTAACCGGATGGTGCGAGTTCGGGGTCCCAGACCCAAGTTGTTTTGGAGCGTAGTCGAAACATAGCCGGATGGAGCAAGTTTGGGCTCACAGACCCAGGTTGTTTTGGAGTCCAGTCGAAGCATAGCCGGATGGGGCGAGTTTGAGGTCACAGAGCCAGGTTGTTTTGGAGTGCAGTCGAAGTGTAGCCGGATGGGGCGAGTTCGGGGTCATAGACCCAGGTTGTTTTGGAGTGCAGTTGAAGCGTAGCGGATGGGGCAAGTTCGGGATTGTAGACCCAGGTTGTTTTGGAGTGCAGTCGAAGCGTAGCCGGATGGGGCAAGTTCGGGGTCGTAGACCCAGGCATTTTGTGTCTTGAGCCCCCGAGCCCCGTTGAGCTTTAGTAGGGGTCGGTTTGACTTGTGTGTGTATTACCCCGTCCTCGGTTCCTCACAACAAGAGGGGTTGAGTTTTGTCGCTTGTTCCGATCGCTCGGGCTCGAGTGACGCGTTCGGTGAGTTCGCTAACGAGTATGATCGAGTGGAATCCGGGTCCGTCGTTCATGACGGAGTTGGCATAGCCTCTCTTGTGACATTCCACTACTATTTTACCTGTAACTCGGTAGATGCCTAGGTAGTTCCAGAGACCGACTCGGGTGGCCAAATGGCCTTCCCTTGATGGAGATTCTGTGGGCTTGGCAGAGACTTAGGATCGAATGAGAATGTTGAGATGACCCTATCTACCGGACTGAGCGAGGGCCGCACGGGGCTCATCCGTGTTTTCTCCCCTAGCTCTATTTGATGTGGGGCGGCCCCGAGCCCTTCATGGGCCGGTCTTTGATCCCCGGTCGGTCGTTGCTCATGTTGAATGATGCAACTGCCGCTTTGTGACGCAACACGGAGCGTTGTGATGCATTTCGCTGCACGTGTGATGCTTAGTTCCCGAGCCCCGGGTGGTTCATGGCCCGAATCGTCCGGGGGGCACGGGTGTATGGAATAAATATGCGTATGGATGTATGAATGAATTATATAAAGAAATAGCCGGGATTGGTAGTGTTACCTTGATGACTCGAGTGGCGGGGTTTGGAGAGCTTTAGTCGGAAATGTCCGACCGAGACCCGCACTCGTCGTTTGTGACGGAGTTGGCATGGCCTACATGAGGCGTCCCTTTGCTCCCTACCTGTCTCTCGGTGTGTTTTTCTGAGCCGTTCGATCGGCTTAGGAAGCCCGATGGTCTCTCCTGGCGGAGATCCCATTTTGGGTTTTTCAAGTCCCGCTTGGGGATGCGGAGAGCTACCCGCGTATGGTGACGCTTCGGTTTTCATGCCCGGTCGTGCGATAGTGGTGGGCCATACCCAGGCCATGTCTCGTCTTGCTAGGCGGCGTTCCATCTGACCAGTGTCGTTCCGTCGGTCAACGTGCACCCCGTCGCTAGAGTGTGTCCCATCGCTTCCCATCCGCATTGAATGAGGGAAGGGAGAGAGTTTTTTGCTCTGATCTTTTGCCCCTCTTCGGCTATCGTGTTTCTTCCTTAAATAGGGGGAGGGAGAGGGTTCTCCATCGCAGTCTTTTGCCTGTTCTCCAACTATTGTCTCTCTTCCTTCTTCCTCTTTACCTAGAGTGCATGTATGTCGCGGTGGTTCCTAAGTGAGAGAGGGGATGAGCAAGGGGGGACTTATGGATCCTTTCATGAATCCAGAGCACAATGTTGGGCTGGAGGCTGCCCGAGGCGGTGCTGGCTGTCTCTGCCTGAGAAG